CGTGGTGGAGGTAGGGCAACAGAAAACTTCAATCAACTTGCATCGCACTGGGTCTGGAAGGAGCTCGTATTTTCCAACATAGATGTGTGTGTATGCATGTTATCACAGCATACAAGCTTTGTCCATGGTGATGGTGCCTGTAGGTGCAGTTTTATGCGTGAAGAGAGACGCTGGTCAAGGCTGCAGCTGGATGGGCAGTGCTCAAGTGCTCTGCCTCTGTTTTGCTGCTCGCAGTGAGTTTCTGTTTGAGGGATGCATTCAATAATGTTTGCAAAGAGTGTGGAGGATGGCTGGACTTAGTCATCAATCTTAACGCTGTGATTTAGCTCTAGGAGCGATGAGCCAGTGAGTACAGAAGGGAAGATGTTGCCCCGGGTCCAGATGACATGGCATGAACAGGACGCACTAACATGGCAAGATGGGCTGATAACCTTGCCAGGAGTAACTCCGCGTCCGTGGCGTGTCCAATAGATTTCTTCCTTATCTTAGCTTTCATCATACAGTTTTTCTCCTAAAGTTTGTTACTTGGCTTTTGTAAACCACACTTTTTCTTCACTGTAAAGTTATTCATGAGAGGAAGGAAGTGCAATCCTTTTCCATAACAAAACGTATCAATATATCTGAGACCTTTGTTGTCTGTGGAGTTTTGTTCTCCTTTGAAAATACCAATAATTATCTGTCTGGCAGGCCTCCATCTACCTGCCAGGGTCTGTTTGCCTTTTTGTGCTATCAGTGCTTGAAGAACACGATCGATAAGTATTACAAAACCTTCCATGAGGTCTTCCTGGAAGACAGTAATCGAATGGGCATGTATAAAACATTAGTCACAATAGCACAGGGCCACCCCCTTCCCTGCATTATCGGAGTGGTTCCTCTGAAAGGAGGCTGCAGTGCATCCCACACATCGGCGTCTGCATCCCCATGGTGTGTTTTCAGGAGTGATCAGGGTTTGGCTTCTTCTGCAAACAGGAAATGGATACGCTTCAGGGAAAGGCAAACAAGCAGTGAAGGCCTGAGACTGCACTGCTGTCAGTAGGAAAAAGGATCCAGTGTTGAGTCTGTCCTAGGCTTTAGTCATAATAATGCTTCCTTCTCTGCTGTTATGTTTGGTTATGTGAGAACCCAGGCACAACTGCACAGGCGACTTGAATGACAGGTCCAGATTTCTACTTCAAGATTTTTCCAGGATCTGCAGTTTAAAACAGGTAGTGACTTTTGACATGACAATACAGTTAAATGTCTGTCTTTCTGATGCTGAAAGTCTCCTTTTCAACTGCTGCCAACTCCCTCACTCTTTGTTCCTTGTACTCCAGGTCTTTTTCACCATGATGATTTCAAATCTCTACTCGTGTGCCATCCCTTAACATATCTGAAATGCTAAGGAATTGATAGAAGTTTCATATGCACCTTGTCTAGTCATGGAATTTACTCCCCCAGTGCCTCTTAAAAACGCAGAGACTGTGTTATACACGTAGGTCAGTCTGAGAGTATTGCCTCCTGTTTATTTCCATCAAAAAACTACAGCAGATGCAAAGAGCAAGCACAGTAACACCAGTTGATAGAGCAAACTCTCAGCTACAAGAGCTACTGTTTGGTCTCCATAAACGTTCAACAAATGCCCATGAATGTCAGTGGGTGCCATTTTTCCTGCATGGAGGGATTCAGTGACGCACCTTCACTCCATCCACACTTCCATGTCAAGATGCCATTTTGTCAGACTGCCCCTCTGCTGCCATCTGTCACACAGCAGCAACATGTAATGGAATACTGGTGGGAAGGTTCAGCCTCTACTGCCATACCACCAGCATCCACCTCTGATGTGGCAGGCCAACGTGAGAAAATTCTCTTTCTTAAGCAGCACTAACACCACCTTTGCTTTGAAGAAGCAAACTGTCATTTACATTTGCTGCTGCACTCTTTTGGCCTGAAAGCTTTTGTGGTAATTGAAGAAAATGAGCAGTTAATTGCTTTGAGTGCCTTTCTGAACTTTAGGCAATGATTGGTGCACTGAGACAAGACGCACCGTGCCCTAACAACTGGCTCTTCCATATGATGTCTTTTCACCCTCTTTGCAGCCTGTGCTCTGACTCAGGTGTGGAAATAAGCATCCTCCAAAGAGTCATCACTGGCTGATCAGAAATGCATAATTATATGTTTTGAGCCTCTAGGCATTGTTTTCCTGGGTTGCATTTGATTTCCTAAATGTTCAAAGGACTAAAGCATCCTCTTTTCAGGCAAGGGATGCAAGCATGCCTGGCTCAATGTGCTCCCTAGCACCTGTGCTGCACAATTAACACTTGCCAGGGCACCGTGCCTTCCCTCCAGTCTCTGCTCAGAGGTGCATGTCTTTAACTTCTTCCAGCCAGTTAGTCATAACCTTATTGCTGTCCCTGTCTGCTTCTGAAGTGGCTGGCAGCAGTAGGTGCAGGCTCTTTATCAGGGTAAACAGAGAGCAGTTACGTCTTCAGATCCTCCCTGCTTGGGTAAATGATGGGTTGATGGCGAGCAAAGGCCACAGGGTTTGTCCCAGTTGCTGGCATGGTGGCCCTTGTCGGCTCCAAGCGTTGGTGGCAGGCAGGTGGCTGTCACAGGGGGTCACCTTTCCAGAACTGTTTGCCAGGAGTACAACCAGAGCCCGTGTGCAGTACGTTCCTGCAGCCCAGAGGCACTTACCAGCTAGCACTAAGCTGCAGGAGCCACCACGACACTGGAGGAGCCCTTCTGCTGCAGATAGCACGCAGTAGTTTTGGATCACTTATGTACAGGACTCAATGAAGAAAGCTGATTTCATTCCAGGAAACCTGCAGGCTGAAAGGCTTGTGAGGAAAAACAAAGCTAGAACTTTTCTCCTTATGAGGATTTTGGGGAGGGGGAGAAATGCTCTGATGGAGGTTTTCATTCCAGTCTTTTCTTTACCACTTGAGTAACAGCTCCCCAAAGGGATTGATGTAGATCTAACTTTGCAAAAGAAGGAGGAATATTTTTTCTGTGCCCTGTGCGGGCCACGAGCTTGTCTGTAGATTTTTACTGTACAAGGGAAAGTGTAATCTTGTTTGATGTTGGGCTTTGCAGGCAGAACAACATGATTTAAGAAATACACTTCTCAGTTCAGCAAAAAACATGACCTGAGCAAGTACACTGCCACAGCTTCAAAATCTGTGTGCCTGAGGGCCCTGGAAAATGGGCATGAATTAAAGTCAGCTGCTGCAGGGGAAGCCCTCAGCTGCTGAAACGGTACCCAGAACTGGCTGATGGCTTCATCCAAACAAACCATATAATCATATATGTTGTCTTTCTGATATGAGCAAAGTTAAAGAAAATCAATTTGGAGGAAACCAAATATTCAAACTACTTGATTGCAGATGCTCTTTTCAATAACACGATGGTTTCTGTAACATTACTCAGCCCTGCCATGCTGGCCACTGGGCAGCAGCAACCCAGAGATAAATTGACTCTTTTGTCAGTTTTTACTCTTTGGACTAAAGAACTGAAATGTGTCTTGGCCTTCCAAGATAGGAAAAGGTTGGTTTGTGGTTGTGTGTATCTTAGAGGCACATGCTTACAGCTTCAGCATCCAGGATACTGAACTCACAGGTAAGACAGTTAGTAAAAGAGCGAGGTTTGATTTGTCTTCTTGAAAGTAAAGGAAAAATAGACATGAGAAGAAAAGTAGATGGCAAGCTGGAAAGGTGCAGCCTTTCTTCATTTCACTATGCCCATATATCATCCTTACCATCCTACCATCTGCCAGGAGACGGCAGCTCTTCAGACTGAGTCTGGCCAGAGGTGTGTGCCACCACAGAGGAGCACTGTGCATAGCAGACACTGTGTCCAGTTCTGGGCTCCTCAGTGCTTTGGGACATGGTGTAGTGGACAATATGAGTGGTAGAGTTCCAGAATCCTTGTTCTGCTTGTGCATGCTCTGTAGCTCTCTGACCACATGCATAGCAATGGAAATGGGTCTGGGTGCTGTGGCTGTACAGCAGTGCCCAGGAAAGCCAATGTCTGTGGGCAGCATCACAAAGATCTGCTGTGTGTGCAGATGTGCAGCCAGTCCCTGCGTGGACAAGAAATCTCAAGCATCCAGAATGCATCTACCATTCCATAGCCACAGTCAGTGCATGGGGTGCTATTACAGCAGGTGTATTGCATGCACAGCTGGGCTCTGGTACCTGTTTTCTGGTTGTCATTTTTTTACTTGCCCATTGAAATGCACATGCCTCGTAGCATGGAGGATCTCATTCCTCTGCTTTATCTGCCCTCACATTACTCCCAGCCCACCCTTGACTCATTAGTTTGTTGCAGGTGTATTAGCCTGAACTCTTCACATGCCAACTTGTTTCTTTAGAACCTCCTTTCAAGCCACAGGCACTTCCTGGAGCTGTAAACCCAAAGTGGTTCTGTCAGCTGAGTGCAGGCTGTTGAGTCTCCTCCCTTCCTCTGGCTCCTGTGGATTCACTGGAGAGCAGCCAGCACTGCTGCTTCCTGCCCCTAAAGCCCCCAGCCCAGCTCCCCAGCACAGGCTGCTGCTTTGGGGGAAAAGGAGCCCAAGGAAGAAACTTAGGCATTTTTCCCATACCTGCTGCTTGCAGGGTTGTTTTTACCCAGCCTCCACTGATGCTATGTCTCTGGGCCCCGTCCCAGACCTCCTCCTGTGTGAGCCTTCCTGGGAAGCAGGGGTTTTGCATCCCACATGTGTGCTAAAGGCTGGCTTTTGTTCTTTCCACATTAGCAAGCTTCCCTTTTGGGACTGGCCTAGGCTACTGCAGTGGTTAAAAACCAGAGCTTAAATTCTGTAGCTAACAATCTGATACAACTTCCTTGGCCTCAGGCAGAAACGACATCAGATTTGTAGCTGGGCACTGCTTAACATTTCGGTGGGGACCATGGTCTGTATTCCACGGTGCGCTCTATCAATGTCTTTTTGCATGCTTTTTTGCAGTTCTTTTGAAAGTCTTACAAAGCTGATCTTTTTCCTCCACCTCCCTCTCTGTCTCTAGTTTTGTATGGAGCTGAACCAGCCGATGCTGCCAAACATCCGCAAGTGGAAGGGCCCTAGAGGATGTTGGAAGGGTGTTGTTTCCGAAAAGCCCTCAGGCCAGCTACCTAAGGTACATTAATCTCCATGTTTGAACTTTTGCTTCACTTTTTTTTTTTCCCCTCTAACCAAGGACATATTTTTAATCATATGTTGAAGGCAAAACATTTTGCAAATCTTTTTTGGCAAGGTTGGTGACTTTTTTTTTCTTTTTTTTTTTAATTTAAGCTGACTGTTTATATAGAACTCGACCGTCCTGTTGGTATTTTGAGAGAATCATTTTCCCCAGCCTGTGGCATAATTATAAGGAGAAAAGTGCCTGTTTGTTTTGGGGATGAGTAACAGATGAAGACAGTACAGAAATGCAGAAGAAAGCTGTGTGTCAGGACAAGGAAAGAGCCCTTTGTTTTGCCCATCATATGCTGCAGTACTTCTGACTTTTTTCTGCTAGTCAGCTGAGCTTGCTATGTACTGCAGTACTGGCTGAAATTTGGGAGAGCTTCCAGCTTTACAGCTTTGCAAACGAAGACCCTACAGAGGGGCTGTTCAGCATGCTGTCCTCATCTGGCATAGGAGCATATCTAGCATGTTTCCTGAGGTGCCCTGCACGTGTATTAGAAATATTCCTTGGACTCCACTGAAAAACAGCACAGTGCTGTACTGTGCCGAGGTGGTGATGGTTGCACCTGCACCCTTGGCAGTATTCAGAGTAGAGCTGCATGGGGCTGAACTTTACTAATGGTAGCCAAAGGTGGTCTGTCCCAAGGGGAACCTCTTCCCTTCAAGGGTGCTAATGGGATTTCAGGGCAAAGTCCTGCTGACTGGAGGCTGCTGGTATCAAACAGGATCACTGTCACCATGCAGCTGTTACAGCATGGACGTTGTTGTGCAGTGGCAGCAGGAGCTGAGACTTGTAATGAGACACACATTCGGCTACTTTCATCTCGTCTGAGTGCTGTCATTGTTAAATAAGTGGCTCCAGTTGTAACCTGAATGCACAATTCAGGATGACTCTCTTATTTCCAATGCAGAGAGCAAATCCCCTTCAGGATGTTTTTATTCCTGGATGGAATCTTTGTTTTGGGATCTCTTGTTATGCGAGGTCATTAGGGCGCTGAGTTTAAACACTTGTGTGAAGTTGTTCTCTTTGCTATGTCTTTTTGCCTTAATAATAGGAACTATTGGTAATTGTCTGGGAGTTTCTGTGTTACATGTAGGTTATTAAGTCAGTTCTTTCTTGAGCTGTATTTCCAGAGATACATTCCAAAGATGAATGTTTTGACTGTGGATCGAATAACTGGAAATCGGCGTGTGCTGTGGTAGGGATGTAAGGATGAAGGATTTCTCAAACTGTGGGAGGAGGCTGTGGCCAAACTAAAAACAGCAATGTTACTTACTGACTCTTCCCTTTAGGTGCCTTTGCAGAAGAAAAATCTGGCTACCCTACAGCACCCTTCACACAGCCAAAAAACCTTTTCTCTCCCTTAGGTTACCTGATGGGTTCATCAGGTTTGGACACTGTGTACACAAACACAGTGCAATGAAGTAATGCAGTGTTACTCTTAAATATGTAGCACCTTCAGCACAGACTGCTCATGGGATGATCTGCAGCGCTAAATAGAGGGCAGTGCATCACACTCATGCTTCCACACTTCCCAGTCATTTCACCTCCTACCAAACACTGATTTGGGCCACTGTATTGATGAGAAATCTGAAGTCAGGGAATTGTGGGGAGCTGCTGACAGCTCTTCTGTTCTTCCGTGTCTTTTCTAATAGCCTACTCAGGTTTCAGACATTAGACTGGAGTTCGGTGGTGAGTTGGCCAAAGATGCCACCAAAGGATTTTAGCCAAACTTCATACTTTCTTTCAAGGCTCATAGGAATACAGTAGAACAGGTAACACTTTCTTTTTGCAGCCGAAATGGAAAGCTTTTCCTTGAGATGGATTTAACTGTGATTCACTACGTCTGAGTGATACCAGGGCAAACTGTGTCTGTGTGATGAGAGGAAATGCTTGACAGGCTTTGAAGTAGATACTGCTGCTGGTGTAATGGGGGCAGGCAGCTTTCTGGAAATGCTGCATTCCCAAGTAGTCTAAGAAAACCTTGCAGGGTGATAGACACTAGGATGAAAGAAGTGGAAACCTGAACATGAATCACTTCAGTTGGAAAGGAGACAGAGAGAACTGACAGGGCTGAGAGGTCTGGACCAGATGTCTTGCCAAGAGGCTGAATGAGCCTGGGTATTTTTAGCTTGGGCATGACAGAAGTCTGTAAGATCACCTATGGTGTGGAGAGAAGGAATGGGAAAGGATTGCTTGCACTGATGTGCTGGTGCTAGGAAGAGGCTGTCAGGAGAAAGGCAAGCAACTATGCATGCCAAGTATGCTCTCCTCATAAATGAGTACCACTGACCACTGGCAGAGGAGGGATGCTGCGGATGCTGAGGACATAAACTACTTTATTATTGACCACACTGAGAAGAATCAGATTCCTTGCCTGGAAGAGCAGGAAGTGAAGGACATGTGTCAGCCCAAAGATGCACACAGGATGCTGCAGCTAAATCTCTCACCACTGCAGCAGAGCTGAACGTGCTCTACCTAAGATAGAGCAGCTTAGGAAAGTATTGGATGGAGCAAGCAGTGCTCTGCTTACCTGGGGGTCCAAGAGCCAGCATGCAGATGTGAGTAGCAAGGCAATATGCACTTCAACTCAGTGTGCTTGGTGGCACTGCCCATTCATCCCACATGTAGCGGGGGATTAGGGCCAGGGTGAAATAAAGAAGCTTTTCTATCTGTCCTAGGGTGTTGTTTCTCCCTTCAACCAGTGCACAGCAAGATCCACCTCCTGTCCTCAGCAGGTGCCAAGCCACAATAGACACCTTTTACCACCTCCACATATTTGGGAAGTGATAATACACTGTTGCCAATAGCAATACCAAGTTGACTGAAACATTTGGGTTAACGTTTCATAATTTGGGCAGAATGTTTTATTTTTAACATCTTATTATTGGCTTTTCTCTTGCTTTAATTGCAGGGAGTGGAATATTCTGGTTTTCTCTGGGATACAACAGCTGGCATTGAGCTCAAAGACGCTTCTTTTCAGGAGAATGTACAGACTAATGGCAATGGGAGACACTCGTATCCTCACCCATATATTGCACATTTCAAGGTAACTCAGTTCTGCCAATTGAGATGAGCTTTGATTTGAAAGTTTCGGACAGGAGGCTGGAAAGAGTCTCCTAACAGATTAAAAAAAAAAACAAACATTAGCATCAGGCTAATTAATCCATGTTCATCAGTCTCTATGGCTCGGTTACAGGAAGGTGCTCAGTGATCTTAGTAGGTGAGGTTATCAGCAGAGTCAGTCCTTTCCCTTAGTCCTGTGGGAGGGAGCCCTGCTGCAGTGGAGCATTGAGGCACATGAGGCCAGTGGACCTTTGGCAGTGCCTGCAGTCTGATAGAGTGACAGAAATCACCAGTCACCTCGTTCAGCTTTTAGGGAGGGGAGCATTGAGAAGCAGGGCAGCCACGGCCCTGTGGTTCTGGTCAGAGCCAGAAATGATGAGTGGAGATGGGGTAAATGTAAGCAGAACAGATGTGCACGGAAGGCATCGTGCTTCGGAGAGGCTCAGGCTGATCTCTTGCATTGCTCCAGAGTTTCCATTTTGAAGCTTTTTCACTAGGCTGCTCCTGTATGAGTGAACTTCATGCAGTTTGGAAACTGACTCTTTCCAAGCTGCTCTTGTGTGTATGGATGAGTGAATGTACAGCCCCCTTCTCTGCACTGGCTGTATTCAGTTTAGGGAGTTTGAGAGAAGTTTCTAATACATAAGCAGGGCAGGATTAGAAGTAAGCATTACTTGTGCCACGCGACAAAGTGAGCCCCAGAAGGTAAGCAGAAGATTACGGGGAGCCAGCAGCTCATTTCAAGGTACATTAAGTTTCCTGACTAATCTCTGTGGCAGGCCAAGGCAGATCACAGGAGAGCAGTAATTAGTCCACGTAATGAGCAAGCCATTATTTGTAGCTTAATAACAACTGGTTTTGCATAAACTGGTTTTCGTAAAGAATCAGCTTCTCTCTGCAGCTGCTGTAGAAAGAAACTGCATATTTACAAAAATCAGTTTCCCCAGAACTGAAGGGCTGCCACAGTAGTCCAAATAGAGCTGTCTTCCCAAAACAACAAGGCAAAACACAACACACTGTGTGCAGCATGAAATGGGTCCCAGTCACCAGGACTTACTGCCAAAAGTGTATGGAACAGGGGAATACCTTTGCTCTCTGACCTCCCTCTGCCCTGTGCTGCACTGCTTTCCCTCCTTCCTCCCCCAGGTTGGGATGAATGACCTAACGCTGGTTAACCTTCACCTGGCCTTGGCTCCTGCAGTGGGGGACAACGCAGGGAAGAACCACGACAGCCACAAGCTAGCAACCTTTGCACAGACTTTGCAGGAGACTCTGAAAGGTATGGTGTTGTCTTCCTTCCAGTTAGCATCTGCACGTACCTCATGAAAGGAATTTCACATATGGATATAACTGTCTTAGTGCAGGTTTCACAAGTTTCCTCATCAGCTGTGCGTTGCCTTTACCTTTCTTTGAATGGTGCACAGCGTGCAAAGGGTGTTTTTTCTCTGCTCACTATTTTACAATCTATTCTAATTAACACAAATACCCCAGAAGATCCTGCTGCCTTCAACCACACTTTTCAAGTGAATCTCCTTGTGATTTTATGCTAGCATAAGGGCAAATCCAAACGAACAGAAGAAAAAGATACTGGGTTAAAACTGATCTACTTAATATCAGAACAAAACTAGCTGGCTTTTTCCCAAAGGAATTTTGTTCTTTGTCTATTTTTGGATATTTGGAAGCACTTTGGAAAACCCAGTGGAGGTCAGGAGATGCTTGCTAAGAGAAAGCAGACCAGAAACCACCTTTGGTACGTGGATGCAATAAGTAAAACAGTTCTGTTGGTTTCAGACAAGTTGCTCTGGTTGTAGCCCAGGATGAGTGACACCAGGATTTGTATCTCAACTTGAGCAATTTAACAGACAGCTGAAGAATTTGCTTCTTATTCTGATTCTTTCAGGTTTAACTCAGTTTCCAGTGGAGCAGAACAGCAGGTTTCAGATTCAGAGTGGTGTTGGCATTGGTGATCTTTTGGTAGGAATAGAAAAATCTAGCCCTTTGCTTACCGTTTCACAAAGAAGTAAAAGGGTTACAAGGTTACAGTCACGATGATTTTCCTCTTGGCATGGTTTTGCAAGGTCAGTCACTTGAAAGCATTAAAATCCTCTTGTATAACACAAGAGGTAATTACAGTTTTTATGCATGTTCCGTTGTTTCTCCTTTAGAGCTGCAAGAAGTCAGTTGAGCTATTTTTAAGTGCTACAGATTCAAGTATTTGTCCACATACCTCCTGAAAGAAAAGGATGAAGGCAAACAAAAGGGTCATTTGTTTAATCCCAGAAGGCTGAATCGGGATGCAGATAACTGTGTTGCTCTTCCGAAGTCAACGGAGATGCATTTCCTCTGCATCTAAATTTAGGCTGTTGACAGGAGGGCTTCTTCTCATTTTTGTTTTCATTGCCATGTGGTGGGCACGTCACTGCAGCGTGTTTGTTCTTGACTCAGTCTTTCACAAAAGGTGAAGTTCAAATTCCTAACGTGTGGGATGCAGGTCTTGTTTCCTAAACAAATACTTGTGCACACGTGTTGTTTTGAGCACTGAATTACTCAGCCAAAATCAAAGGCAGGCTTAAAATTACATTTAAAAAAAATATTTATTATTTTTTTTTCTTTTCAAAGCCAATCCATCAAATATGATTAATTGAGGCTGATTTGCCTGTTGCTATTCCAATCAGTCCATATTTCTGATCCCATTTTGCTAACAGGCGCCTTCTTTGCTGCCTTACAAAGAAGACGTGCTCAAGAAGTTCAGTTAGGCAGTCTCCTGTAACGTCTCCATCCCCCACAGCAGCTGTGTACCCACATTTCTCCCATCAGATGAGTGCGTCCGGGTTCCTTCTTGTCCTCCTTTACTCTCAGTTGTACCAGAGAGACCTGGTGGTTGTCTGCTGCTGGTAGCTAACTCTGCAGCAACCCTTCTGCCTTCTCTTAAGCACTCCACCCGTTCATATCCACTGTGGTGACCATGACCTTGCAGACACTATCTGTAGTGCTTGGACCCAGGCTTGGCTTAGTCATCTTCTTCCATCTGGCTTGGCCACACTGCAAAGTGCCCGTGCATCAGCAGCTTGGCCTAGAAGACCTCTGAGAGGTGGTAGGGAGCTTCTTACCAGCGTGAGTGCTGCCACATCCTTTCCGTTTTGTTTTTCGTGCTCTTCAGAAAGAACATGGGGATGTTCTTAACTCATTAGGATCTGATTCAGGGCATGTGGAAGTCAAGGGAGAGTGTCCTTCAGGGTCGCTTTGTACTGCTGTGGAACAACTGAGGGTTTCACCATTGCTGCAGGACAACAAAATGAAGCTCTGCAGATGTCTTGCTGCGCAGTTGTTCTGCTAGGGATTTGCAGCTACGTGGAGCACCAGGAGCTTCTGGTTGAGGGGACCAGAAAGAGACCCTTTCCTTTGGTGATGGGCTGGAAAATGGAGTTTTGGCTTCTTGAATGCTCACTGCACCCCGTTTATCCCTTCTCTGTCCACTTTATGTTATGGTGTTATGATTGTATGCTTAGCTGTTCTGCATGAGAAAGTTTAAAACAGAAAAGAATACAGTGACTCATTTCCTGTGCATACACCAGACTGACTTTGTACCTGATTCCACGAGCATATCTAGGTGTTGATTATTTTAGGCTCTGCTATTTCTGTGTCGTTCAGAATCGAGCAGTCAGTTAAAATTTCCTTTTGTGATTACGATTTTTAAGACATTTTTCACGTAAGGCTGGAAGATTTGCTCAAATAAATATTTTGTGCAGGACCGAGGTGCTGTTGCTAGGATTCCTGCCTGCCTGTAGTTTGTAATCCCCATCAAGGGTGCACCCCAGACCTTTCCACAGTGGCCTTCCCCCCTTTATATCAGGATCCAAGCACTGCCTTGGCCATTCAGCAAACATCAGTCTGGAGGACTGTTTGGAGGACTGCGGCAGTGCAGCAGTTGCACTTGTTGCAATTTCCTGCTGCATCACGAAGCCCAGATGTGAAACCATCAGATTCTTCTTGCCGGTCCAGATCTTAGCTCTTCTGCACTGCCAGCTCACAGCAAGCATGCTGCTTGGCGTGCTGCAGGAAGGGGAAGCCTGCCTGCCTCACCAAGATGAGAGCTGCAGAAGCGGAAGGTGGCATTTCAGAGGCACTGTGAAAGCACTTTGTTCAGATGATGAGAGCAAACCAGTTCTCTCCAGGGGCTTCGTGCTTCCCCATTAGGTAAGCACTGACTTTCTTCTGGGTTCCGACAAATCTTAAAATAACTTGGGCTCAGGCTTGTTTTTTGTCTTTCTTCTAAAGGTGGGAAGGTCAGTATCACGGGCACTTTGCAGAATAACATTTAACGTCGTGTCGTGTTCAGTGTGAGCATGGCTCGCAAAGGGCACAGAAGCTACAAGTAGTTTCATTGGTTTTCATCACCTCTCTGTATTTCAGCTAGCGGCGCGTTTAGAAGTATTTATGTTGTTGTAAATCATAAATCACCAGTCTCTCTGCCCTCCTGCCCCCTCTCACTTCATCTCTGTAGAACTGCAGGCAGAGAGGAGTGCAATGGATTTCATTGTTTAACTTGTGCTCCCTCTTTTGGCTTGCTACTTGTACAGCAGCAGCACACAGCAGGTAGGTTTATCCATGAGTGCTGCTTTCGGTAGAACAGTTTCTCAGTCCTCTTCCTCCACACTTCAACCACAGAAAGCAAAGGCACTTAAAGAATATAACAGTGGCCTTCTTTGAAATCGGCTTTGTGATCATTTTTGGTGCATCCTTGTTGCAGATTCCTCCTTTTCCACAGTACCAAGGTCTGTGTTGCAGCAGTCTGTGCTCAGCTGTCACAGTCCTGGAGTCCATCACACCTTTCTGGCAGGGCAGCAGGCACGTCCATCCTCCTCTTACCCCATTGCACAGCTGGGATATCTCCATCTCCAGCTGTAGAGCTATGGAGAGCACATGCTGTGGATATAAAATTAAGGCCCAGAGTTTCTTTTCTTACTCAGGGTTGGAAATAAAATGTAAGTGAGGTCATCTTATTTCCACAGAAAGAAGGCATTTTGGACAAGTATTTCATGTCATTTCCTTAGTTCCTTTGGAAATTAGGCCCCAGTCAGATTCTAACATGTTGAAGTTCAGCAGTATTTCTTTAGTCATCTGGGAGAAGGAGAGCTTCTATAGCCAGTGAGTGTCTGCATGGTTTGTGAGCTAACCTGCAGCTGACAAGTTTGCAGGCTGCATTTCAGGCTTGTTTTTTGAGATTTCCTCAACACACAGGTTTAGAACAGGCACTGCACTTTTGGGGCTCCGATATATACTAGCAAAAAAATATGGCTTCTGGAGTCTTCAGCTTAGTCAGTGTCGTAATGAAGGAGTCAGAGCTGCTGGTTTGTCTGTGCTCCAGGAAATCCAGAGGAATCACCCCTTTCCTATCCCAAAAGGCAGTGCACATCACTTTACACGTTGAGGACTGTATGAGCTTTTTCTTTGATGGGGAGTTCACGTCACCACTCTCAACATGCATTGAAGCTGATCTTCAGCTCTGTCCACAGCTCCCTGGTTGCAGTTTGCCAATTCACATGCATGAGCTGATCAAGGTGCTCTGCATTTTGTGGTGTGACAGCTGTGCGTGGCTGTCCAGAACGTGGCTTGTCTTCCATGTTGCTGCTGCCACTGCTGAAACGCACCACCCACCACCTCACTATGCTCATGTCCACTGCTTGGTCTCCATAAACATTCAGCAAGTGTTGATGAATGTCAATGGGTGCCATTTTTTTCTGCAAGGAGGAATTCAGTGCCATGGCTTTGCTTGATCTGCACTTCCGTATCAGATGCCATTTGGTCAGACCTTCCCTCTGCTGCCATCTGTCACACAGCAACAAAATGTGATGGAATATTGGTGAAAAGGTTCAACCCCTACTGCCACACCACCAACACGCACCTCTGATGTCGCGGGCTGACATAATTAAGTAGGAAGCATAGCTTTTGGAGCAGAAGGAAAAAAATAAGCTTACAAAGTCACAGATTTCTACAAACTTCCAAGACTAGAAATGCTACTCTGTCACTGTGAATAGCAAGCAGAGGATCCCAGTGTAATTAAGCTGATATTTAAAAACAGGCAAGAAACATGCACTGAGCGGCCACAAAGAGTCCAGAGCCTTCTCTGCTACACGTTGGACAGGATGGCCACGAGTAAGTAGTAGTGGAAAAGGCTTCAAACAGCATTGCTTTCAGGAGTTCAGAGTAAAGTCAGGTTTGCTATAAAGTACTTGTGTATTTCCTCCTTTCATCATCTGTATACCTCCTCCTCTTCTTCCTTTTAAGCTGTGGATGTCCATTCTGATTTAATTTCTCTTTTTTTCTTTTCATTTTTTCTCTTTTCCAGGGGAAAAAGATGTGATCATCCTGGGAGATTTTAACCAGGCTCCCGACAGCAGCGACCATGACATTCTGAGGAAGGAGAAGTTCCATCACTTGGTCCCTTCAAATACATTTACTAACATCAGCACAAAGAACCCCCAGGGATCGAAGTCGCTGGACAACATGTGGATCAGCCGGAGTTTGAAGAAGGTTTTCACAGGTAGAGTTTCTGTTTGGTTAAGTCACGTAGCCTGTGTGAGCTTAGCATTGGGTCAAATGTGAGTGATACTGCTTGGCATACAACTACTATTGCTGGACTGCAACTACCTGAAAAGAGCTTGTAGTGAGATGGGGGTCGGTCTCTTCTCCCAGATAAGAACTGATAGGACAAGAGGGAATAGCTTTAAGTTGTGTCAGGGGAGGTTCTGGTTGGCTATTAGGAAACATTTCTTCTCAGAAAGAGTGGTCAAGCATTGGAACAGGCTGCCCAGGGAGCTGATGGAGTCTCTGTCCATCAGGGTGATCAAGAAGCGTGTAGATGTGGCACTGAGGGACATGGACAGTGGGCATGGTGGGTGGTGGTTGGACTAGGTGATATTAGACATCTTTTCTGACCTTAGCGATCCTATGATGCTGTGGCTTCCTGTAGCTGCCTTCAATTCCTTAGCATGCTAAGTATTTCTTTTGCAAGCTTGTGGAAATGTGTTTAAATCCAGGCACCTCTTTCATACCGATCTTTTTATGTGATTCTTTTTCTTGCAGGCCACTGGGCTGTTGTGCGAGAAGGTCTTACAAACCCGTGGATCCCTGATAACTGGTCCTGGGGTGGAGTAGCCTCAGACCACTGCCCTGTGCTGGCTGAATTTTACATGGAAAAGGACTGGAACAGGAAGGAGGTGACGCGGAATGGAAACGGGGTGACCGTTGAGCGCGACTCAAACACTAAACACGAACGATGACGTGAACGGGAGGAGCCAGCCCATAGCCCCTGTTCCAGGGGTCAGCCCATAGCTCTGCTTGCTGGAGACACAGCTGTGGAGCAGAAGAGCTGCTTCCCCCTCTCCTTCCTTCACCTGTCCTCCCCATGTCCAGAAAGCATCAGCACTTGCCTCCGCTGGCTCTCGCTCTGCGCCCTTCACGGACAGCTCTGGGGTGTCCCAGGGCAGTAGAGCAGCCCGTAACTTTTTATAGGGATGCGATGGACCCATCTCCATGCCTGGAGATTTGGATGAGAACTGTACAGAAAATAAAGTGTACTTTTAATACTGTGTAGGATTTTGGCTAAAATGCAGCCAGGCGGGGCTTTGTTGTGGGGGTGTTTGTGATGGTTAATTTCTTTGCTTCCTTGTGAACTGAGGGGAATAGCAGAGGGCACACAAAGATTCACTCTGTGGATATTCTTGGCAATTCCTATGTGAGCTCAGCACTTGCAAAAGCTGCTAATTCTGGGAAGCAAGAGAGGTGCTGGACCCTTACATGACCAGAAGGCCCTGCATGGTCCCTATGGCCCAGAGAAGCACCATGCCTACTCAGCCCATTGTCAATATGGGCACCTCTCTTCCTCCCCTTCCTCTCTCTGTGCTTCTGGGAAGGGTGCATTTTGTCCCAGAAGGGAGTTGTGGAGCCTGCTTTGGCTTTTAGCTTGCTGTGCAGCATTCACTGCTATTTTTCCCTGTGTAACTTTCAGGAGCTGGGAAAACTCTGACTCATGCCTTTGTAGAACTTGGTTCACTCCTCTACCCGCTGACACTGGAGGCAATGCCCTTTGCTTTGCTTCCTGCTGGGGATCTCACAGGAAAAACTCTACTCCTCTGGCACAGCAACTGCAGCAGATTTCTTGAGCAAGGAGGGAGGATCAAAAAGGAGGGCGTGCTGTGCCTGGCTCTGCTCATTGGTTCTTCAGGGAGCTGTATTTTCTATTGCTCCTCCTGGAAGGCAGCACTGCATCCAGTGCCTGAGCCCATGGGCCGCTTTCAGGCACCACAGCACAGAGTCTGAGTGCAGTGTACGATGATGACTTACACAGCAAGGCTGGATGGTGAGCTTATAGGTTCTCCTATGGAGGTTTGTTTCTGTACATGTCCTGATCGGGGAGCACACCAGCCAACAAGGTGCCTGAGAGGGAGCATTCAATTCCCCAGGTGGGTGATGTTGTAAAGTAGCAATTAACAGTCAGTGACCTGGAGGGGAAATTATAAGGACTGGAAAAAGCAACTCAGCACCTTCAGGAGCAAAACATGGGTGTGAGGAATGCAGAGCTCCTGCCAGCCCAGCACATTTCATGCTGAGTGAAAAGGAAAGCTCTCTGATGTGCCTTGTAGTGCTGTCAAAAGATGCTCCTGACAGCAGTGCCAAGCCAAGGGGACATGCTAAATGAGGGCTGCACAGCTTGGTTAGTTGAACTGGAATAACAGCCTCGTTTCAGGAAGCAACAACTTGCATGGAAACTCAGATGGATGAATATGTCAAACAGTGTGTCTTAATTTCTGTACAGAATTAAAGCTGGAGCAGGGTGGGATAGCCGGGGTGTGGACTCTGCTCTCCAACCTCTTCAGCCCCGTGAGCTGCAGTCCTGTGGGTGCAGGTGGGGAGTGGGAATCTCTTTGTCATGACACAGCTGGACAGGCTGCTGTTCTTGCTCCTCTCAGATCACAGTGAAAACTGTTGGTTAGAAGGAAGGTGATGGCACAGGTTGAAGAAGTGAGCTCAGATCAGTGGGCCCTGAAGAGCAAAGAGGTTATTGCAGGAAACAGAGTGGTTTCCACAAGGGCTGCCAGGATGGAAATGTCTCCTTGCCTCCTGAGTGCCGGAGGGCACAGCTGCAGGGCGCGTGCAGATGAAGGTTTACCTGATGTTGCCGTGGCAGATCCTCGTTCTTTAGGCACTGCACTCAGACCACAGTAAAGGTTTCATTGACATTGCAGATGGTTCAGGGGAGCTTTCAGAGCATCAGACAAAAATGTGCCTTCACTTTCTCAGCATTTAGTGCTGAAAACCAGAGGTGCGTGCATTTGTCTTGGGTCATTGCAGAAGCCAACAGGAGCACCTGGCTGCTGCTTTGGACCCTGCTTGATTCTGATTCCTTGCTGCTGCCTTGCCCATTTCCAGCAGGCATAGTGCTGCTGGATCCCCTTACTTTGACACAAAGCTGAATGCCATTTAATCTGCTGCAGGTGTGAAGTGGTGCAGCTGTGTGTGACTGCTTCCTACTGGGTCTGCTGGCAGCAGCTCCCTGTGTGGCAGAGGCTTTGCCCTGGCAGAATGGTGAGGATGTGTTTATTGGTACAGCTGGAGGGAATGAGCTGGATCACTTTCCTCCCCACTGCTGACCTTAAAGCACTCAGCCTGGCTCTCTGGGAGGTGAATGGGTGTGTGCCTTGGGGTGAGATGGATCCTACGGGGCAGAAAGAAAGGACAAGAGAGATTTGGTGCCTGCCGGTGGAGCTTTGGCTCCTGTGGAGTGTCAGTGCAAGGAAAGCACCTGGGTGTTAGGAACCAACAGGGCCTGACTGTATGGGTGGCTGTGCTGCTCCTTGAAAACCTGGCCTTGCTTTCTGCGCACAGCATCCTTGCATGGCAGTGAGGCTCCTTGCTGCCTGGAATTTGGAGGCACCCGATGGCACTGGTTGTGTGAGGTTGGCCCAAAAGCTAAGGCAGTGGTTGGTGTTCTGTGTCTGCCTTCACGTGACTGCAGCTGTGGGAGCACACTCAGGTAGCAGCGGTACGTTATGACGCGTAATAGAGTGCTGAAACATAATTCTGTTTTTGTTAAGCAGACATCTCTGCGAAGGACCCAGCCCTGACCTCCCCTGGCTGCTGAGGTACATACATCCAAATGGTTCTCCTCCCTTTTGCTCTCACCTGCTCACTGCAGGGCAGAGCCTCTGCGTTGTCCTTTGGGGTTACAAAGCTGTCAGTTACACAGCAGGTGTCGGTTTGGTCATCTGGCTTTGGTGGTGTGAAACCAAACAGGGTTGTAAAGTGTCTAAAAAAGGAGCTGGGATACAGCAGGAAGGTTTTGGTGCGGGCTGTCAACTTTCCTTCCTTTGTGCCACGGCCAACAGGAAGCCAGCCCAAGTGATGGCGTTTCCTCTCTGCATTCCTCCCCCTCCACGTCCGAGTCTTAGTTTTCCAAACCACCTAGCAAGGAAGGAGAAATATAATGCAACAGTACTGTACTGCCTTGCAAGGCACATCATACAGTGACTTCAGAAGTATTTCTACTGAAAAAAAACTAAAAAACAAACAAAACCCACCCACAATCCTTAAGTACCCTTATGTATACATGAGGGAGCCGAACCACAGGCAATGGCAGGACTGCCTGCAGAAAAGCAATTCAGGGAGGGAACAAAGAGCCCTGAAGCAAAGCAGCAGGGATTCACAGGGTGTGCCTCAAAGAGAGCAGAATGTTTGGAACTACGGTTCCCAGATGGATGGTGCTGAGAAATGCATCGCAGCCAAGAGCCTCCAAGGGGCTCAGGCCGTGTCCTAGAGAAAGGGAAGCAGAGGAGAGGGGGCCGTGCCTGGCACACAGCTTCCACCAGGTGTGCACATGGAGACCTTCGTGACTCCAAGACCAAGCAGTGCCTTCCTGAACTGCGTCAGAAAGCCATCTCCACCACTGCTGTGAAATAGGGTGAGTCTCCCAACACTGACAGGGCTTCTGTACAGGAACAGCATGGATGTTGTGAGACATGGATGTACAGCAAAGCAACTGGACCAGGCAGCCATGAAGAGCTGTCATCGTGTCACTGACGTCACGATACTCGGTAGTGACACGAGCTCACGTGCGCTGCTGTCCAAAAACTTTATTACAGAACTTTTGTACCATGACTTAGTAACCAGGAAAAAAGAAAATCAGGAAACCTTACAAAAGGTACACTTCAAAATCTGAAACGCTTTTACAAAGGAGGAAGGACAAATAAGTGCTGAAAACAGAAGCAGGCAGGTTTCTCACCTGCTGGTAAGGTAACATCTTTATACAGACCACTTCCAGACTCTAACCTTGCTCTAGGCAAACCTACTTCTAGGATAACAAAGAACAGAAGTCCAGTGATACCTGCTGCTCTGGAAAGGACCTGCAGGTCCTGAAGGAAAGCATCTACGGCTGCAGGAACATCTGGTGGTGCAGTGACAGAGCCCAGGGGCTGCTGGAGGAAAAGCTGCGAGCAGGGCGTGCTGCAGCACTGCAGGGAAGCTGGCACGGCCTCCTGCTTCCAAGGACCTGTGACAGTGACACCCTTACTTTGTAACACACAACCACTGGGACACTTGATGTAGAACTGCACTGATGAGGAATTATCTACAGTTAAAATATCCGTTCAAAGCTGTCCCTTTCAGAAAGGAGCGGCCCTCGTGTTCCCCTGGATCAGCAAAGTGAGCCCAGTTCTCTGCAGCTCTGCTCTGCAGCTGCCTTTTGGCTGTGATCTTTGACTCGACCCCTGCCATGCGTGGCTTTCTTGCTGCTTCCAGCAAATGAGCCAGTATCTGGAGAGCATGGGTGCAGGACTGCAGATCGTTCCCAGGGGGCTGCTGCAGTGCTACATCTGCTGGGTTTGGTTCTTCAACAAAGCTGGGCAGGCAAAGCTACAAGCGATCAAACTTGTAAAAAGAAAAGGAAAAAAAAAAAAGTTTTTATATCTGCACACAGAGGCTGAAAGGCTTCCAGATAGCAAACAAGACTGACAATATAAAATTAAGGCTACTGTGAGGGGTTCTTGGTCCCTGCCTTGAAAATAACCGAATTTAGTAAATTTATCTTTGTTGAACACATTTTATTTTCTGAAGCAGTCAGCCAGCTGCTGTGAGCACACCTGCAGTGCTGCCTAAAAGGCAGCTGGTTTGATGGGGTCACTCAAAAACCTTCAGACCTCTTCAGACCTCTGAGCCCGTGTGGAGGAAACCTTGTCTCCACTTACTTGCCTTATTCAGTGCTGGGCCTGTTATCTGTGGGTCACAGCACGAGGGGAAGAACTGGCAGAAGCCTTCTGGAGCTCCCATCTTCCTGCACAGCCTCCTGCATCACAGCTGCTTCCCCAGGAGCTCAGAGGAGCGCTGCTAAAATGCTGCCTGCTAAAACCAAACCAGTTCTCAAAGTACTTAGAGGTGCAAAACTCATCTGGCCTCAACAATCCATCATACTCTGAATTCAGAAAATGCAGTTTATGCAGTAAGCCCTCCTGTGCCATCAAAGCTATTTACCACGTGGCCAGCAGTGCCTCACAGTAACACACTTTCTCTACCTGTTTCTGGATAAAGCACCGGCAGGTAAAACAGAGGTAAGTTTGCTTAAAGTGTGCAGCAGTCCTGTAGGAACACAGGAACAGGGCACCTGGGAGTCTGCTTTTCTCCCACATCTCATTTCTGCAATGAGCACAACTTTACTGTAGCACCGAGGCCTGATACTGCTCAGAAAGTGACTTGATGCTCTGGAGGCTCAGGAGACCCAGACGAGGAGTGCTGCCTGCTGTGCTGACTTACATCCCTGTGTTCCTGATTGTACTGATAAAAAACAAGTCATAAAATCACAGTTCTGCCCAAGCTTTCTTCCAAAATGCTGCCCTACAGGACTTACTAGCCATGATACACTTGTCCTCAAAGGAGAGAGACCCTTCCAGATCTCAGCTTCCTAAACATGTACTATACAGACAGAGATGTGGAAAAGTAGCAATCTGGGGGAATAACAAAGAAGATAATTTTGCTGCCTGTTTGCAGTCATCAAAACAGCAATACCTTTTTTTTTTTTCTTTTTTTTTCTTCATCTGAATCTCCTAATAAAAAAAAGAAACCACAACTTTTTGATGGTATCACAGAGCTGTTGCACAAAGACCCGCTTCTGTGCACTGTGATTATGGTTTTAAACTTGTTGCAGTGATGACAAATAAGAAAGAGTCACACAGACAATGAGGTAGCATAACTACAAGCTGCTATCTCTACAAGCTGTGAAAGCTGACCAAAGGCAGAGTACTTGAGTAGACAAAAGGGGAATTTCCCCTCTTTCTCCTTTCCTCCACCTCTAAATCTGGATGGGAAAAGGCAGTATATCACAAAGGAAAGTGACAAGCACTACGCCTAGCCCGCAAAGCAGAGCAGGTGGCTGGACAGGTCACTGCAAAGGGATTCCTAAACCAGACTCAAATATGCACAAACTCTTAAAAAAACCCCATTCGTATACAATCACAATGCAAAAGGAACACAAAGGGGCTTTTTCTGAATTCCACATACTCTGGCTGCCTTTTCCTCCTGCTCCACCCTTGCTCAGTCCATTTTTGCAACCTCTCAGAAGTCCAGTTCTATGTCCTCATTGCACAGAGCGAGCAGCTGGCTGCTATTGTTAGTCTATGAGATCCTGGAGCTCCTCATCAGTCAGCTCATTGACCTCCATAATCTTTTCCAAGTGCTCCATATACCGGGCATGGTCTTGCAGGAAGTGTGGTACCCTCATGTTCTCAATCACAGCCAACCCTTTCAGACGGTCCACGTCTTCATATGAGATCTGCAAGGAAGGACACGGGTTAGATCTGCATTATAGCCCTGCTTCTTCCCTGCTGAGGCTGTAAGTTACCCCTTGTAGGTGAGAAAAGGTTTCAGAGAGTGGAAGATGCAAAAAAAGTGTAATTTTAGCAAATGTCTGTAGACTTCCAGATTCTGCTTTTGATTAAATCAGTGAATAGATTGAGAGAAAACGGAATGACACCGACCTACAACAGCGACAGGAACAGAGAAGGCTGGAGCACATGCGAGTCCTGAGGTCTCAGTCAGTCTCAAAGTCTGATACAAGAATGGAGGGGACTCTGTGCCCAAGAGCAAAGAACTGGAAACACTGTGCAGGACAGGTGAGGAAGAAGTGGGGATTCCCACTAGCAAATGTGCCCACCATAAGCTACACTACAGTGCACCTCAAGTGACTAACTCCTGTTTTGGCAACCTTACACATCCCAAAATGTTGTGGGTTTTTGTTTGTTTTTCTCATTTGACAGCAGGGTGGAGATTAGTTGTACCTCTAGGCATCAAAGCCTTCTGGGTAGAGGAGTGACAATTTCAAGCTTTTTCCAGCTTCTAAGGGCCTGCTACTTTTTTGTAACGAAAGCATCTAATGTAACCAGCATCTAGTTTTGTAACCAGCATCTAATGATTCTGCAAGCTAGGACATCAAGCCTTGAGGTCACAATAGCTGCGAGTGATGGTCCAGAAGAAAATGAATGCTTTGACTGTTCAATAATTACACAGGCTGTCCTGCAAACACAGAACAGGTTTCCTCAGGCAGATTCCTCATGATGAAATGAATGTGGCTGTTGCTTTGTCTCTGAACTGCGTGTGCTGAAGCACCCTACAGACAGACACATATGTGCTGGCAGAAACACAAGCCTGGCTGTGCGTGCACACTGGCACATCCTATTTCCTCCCAGCAGGTTTGTGCCAGGTGGCTCAAACCTTTTGACTCCCACACTTCTTCTAAGGAGCTGAGCACTGTGCTGTCAGGGCTTGCTGGACAGCCTGCTTAGCGGGTGGTGGTCCCTGTTCAGGAATGGTTATAGCCAGCATATTGATCCACCAGCAGGTAAGGGATGTGGAAGGGTCCTCTGGAGAGATAAGAGAGCCTAATCCAGATTGCTAAACTTGACCCAGAGGAAAATAGAACTTGTTTCTCCTGAGAGTATACAGAGATACTTGAGCGAGGCCAGAGAAGGGCCACAACGGGGGTTGAAAAGCACTGAACATCTGACACAGACAGTGGAGTCTTCAGCAGCAGAGAAGTGAGAAGTTTCAGAGAATAAAGCTGCAGTCTTATTTGACACAGTGCAATTTTTTTTCAGAGGTTTCTAACTTGGTTCAGTTACTTACACAGTAACTGCTCACCAATATGATCTTTTTGCACAACAGGCAACACTGGACCAAACTGCACCAACACTGTGGACCAGAAGCCTCTATTGTAATGTGCCCTTTATCACCCAGGGATTGCCAAGCAGGCAAAAATGTTGGTGTAGCAGCTCTAAATGCAAGCATAGTAATGTAAACTTGAATCCTCCTTTATGTGAGTACGAACTCTATTTTATGAACTGTGGAAACTTAGCAGCTCAAGGAACTGGTTCAGGAACTGACAGTTTCTGCAGTCAGTATGGTTTTGTCTGTGGTTTTCAGGTAAAACAAGCAATGACAATGGAGAGAAAATGTTCTCTGAATGCAGAAACATCGTGTATTCTGGAAAAGGCAGACTCTAACTTAGGAAAAACAGTGAAAAAGAATCTGAGATGAAAAACATGCTGTTATCTTTTCCTTTGTGGAGGAAGGGGATGGCCTTAGCATCAATCTGTGAATTCAGTTTCCTACTGGGACCCCCATCTTATCTAGCAGCTGGCCTGCTTGCTCGAGGCAAGTCAGGCAACACCTTATAAAAGGAGGAAAGGACAGTCTGAGAAATATGACCGTCAAATCTTAATCTGATAGACAAGGAATGAAGAAAAACTGGTAGGAATTCTTAGGACTTTGTAATATTTTTAACCTGCACAGTGTGAACCCAGCGCTGCACGGAACAGAGGTGTCTGTCAAAGTAAAACAAAGCACGGCGACTCACAGATCCTTGCAGACAAGCTTATTCAAATGGTAAAACTGCATCCTGTGGTTAAAGATGAGTCCACTCACTTTGCCAAGTGCTGTCAGAAGGTGGAAATCGATGGACTCCCTGTATCTCAGGATTCGGAGGATGCCATCTAAGTACACCTGATCCTTATTGAAGCAGCCTGAAAAGAACCAAAATTCATTGCATTCTCTCAGGGTTTGTTGAAGGCATATTCTCAGAAACCGTGGTAAATAGAACTTTTTATCGCAGAGTTTGAAAACCTTTCCCAAAATAACTAGAATGCTAAACCCACTACCAAGAAAACAGAAGACAGTCTCCAAGAACATCTGCAGCAACAGTTTTGTAACAAACATGCAAGGAAATCAAACTGAGTTTGAACTTCTTCGGTTTTACATTTTACATTCCCTCTTTCAGCAACAAATCCTTTACTGAATCAAAGCAAACGTCTAGAAAAAGTGCATTTCCAGCCTTCTTTTCAAGAGCATAAATCCCGTGGCCTCATTTCAGAAAGTACAGATGCCCATTTCTCCCTTTCACAGTTTTAGTTTGCTGAAGGAGCTCTGTGCACAGTCTGAAACCTCCCTGAAGCACAAAAACACGCAGGATAAGTAGAGAACCCACCTGGCTGTGATGTGTCAGTCCAGCCCCTCTTGGCTCGTACACAGTAATCCCACCTGGTATTGGGGTCCTGGACAAATTTCCCCACGTCCTGGAACAGCTGGCTGAAGGACATCTGGCTGGCCTGATAGACGGTGTAGTAGAGCAGGGCAGCCCTCCAGAGGAAAGGGTCTTTGCGGAACAGGACGCTGTGGATGCTTGCCAGCCCTTCTTCTGTAGGGTTGATTGGTTTCAACCCATGTTTTCTACGTCCATTCCAGTTGCACCAAGGCTGGCTATTGTTGTTAAAGCCCCGGAAATAATGAGTTCCTGAAAAGAATGTGAGACTTACAATTAACATCTCATGATTTAAGAATGGGAAAATATTAAAGCTGAGGCTGGTTTCAGAACTCTGCACTAGTAGGACTAGTAGCAAGTGCCAAATTTAGCACAGTCTGCAACAGAGAATTTTGTCAGAAGTAGATAGACTGTGCAAATATTCACCTGCTGACCACAACATGAAACTCCTGAAAATGCCTACGGTACAAAAACATCAGCAGAACTTGAGATCCTAAATCCATGAAAAGGAATTTTCAAAAGTGCCTTGCATGCTGGTTGCCTCAAACATGGCCTAGGCTCGGTGCTGAACAGAAGGAGGGAGAATGAAATAAAGGAAATGCTCAGGGAGCAGAAAAATTGCCTCTTAAAACTGATTAAGGCCCCTACTGCTGCCTTGCAAGAGACTGCTGTTCCATTACAACATGAGAAATGATGCTCCAGGGCAATTACAGGTCTTATTCTTCAGCTGAAACTCAGACACTACCCAGACTTATCCAGTTTTGATGGAGTTAAGTAGAACAGATCATAGAAATTTTCCACGGGGCTTAGCCAGCCTTGTGTAATGCAAAATCAGTGCAATCCTGCTAGGTACTAAAGTATGCCCACACTTGCAAGCAGTGCATTGTATCAGAAGTAGATCTGTCAACTGAAATGGCTGGTTCTAAACTGGAACAATCACACTATTTTTGTTCCCATTTTTTAAAGCAAGACTGGCTCTAGGTTGGTCTCACAAACATCATGTCCCTGCCACGCGCACGCAACCAAATGGGTTGTCTTCCCTGCACTGCACTTTGCAGTGGTAAAACAAGTTTCTCCTTTCCTTTAGCACACCTATGGCACAGGACCTTTAGACAGGGATGTTGTTCCGTTCTTCTGTGCCTGGTCCAGTAGTGCAAGATAAGTAAGAATGCATGCAAGTACTCCCCTTTGTCTGAAGAACTGACGGTAGGCTCATACCAATTTCATGTCTCAGCATCCCTTCCAGCCAGTGCTCTCTCGCAGTGGAGATATTGATGGTGAGAGTGGGGCGGCCATTCACCACCGTCATTGAGGCTCGAGAAAGCAGGTCCTCCGTGAGATGGACCACAATCTGAAGATGAGAGAGGCCAGGTATCAAACAGCTCCCTTCTTGTTCCTGTTACTGCTCTCCTGTGGCCCTTTCAGTAGGTTTTTGGAGGGGCCCTCGCCCTTCACAGCCCTTCCTTGCTCCCTCTGAGAGACACTTCTGACAGCTGAGGTGTCCATCAGCCACACTCCTGAGAAAACCTCCAACCTGAGTTGGACTTTGCACAAGGATTAACTTTGCACAAGGATAAGGTACAGGACTGCAAAACTGAATGTGGTAACGCTGACCAGTTTGGGAGGGTAACCAAATGGACAGTAAACCAGAGAAACTTACGTTTTCAAACAGTTTCTCATTATCTTGGTATTACTGAGAGCTGAAAAATGTTAACAAAAAAGGACCCAGGAATTAAAAGCTACACAAGATTAACAGTGTTGACTTCCCTACACAATAAAACCCCATCACTCAGCTCCAAGTCCAACAGCAACCAGTCCAATAAAACTCTTATTTAAGATTCAGGAAAGCAAGGTAATGCTAAAGCATTTAAAGTACTGGTACCACTACACTTTATTAATGCTTCTTCATCTGAAGAGAGTATTTTCATGATACTTCACACAATACCAAGTAGATGTATTAACTGTACTTTTGGAGAAGGTTTCATAAGATGACATAGGATATTTGACGAGGGTTTAGGATTCTGCTTCCACACAGACAAATCAAAACAAATATGAGCACATCTGTGTGATGAGTTTAGCAGTTTCTCCAGAACTGTTATGTTTAGTAATCAAACCTTATTTTCCATCAAATATTTTTTTTTCCCATTTTTTTTACTATTTATCTCCCACTCCAGCTTTCTCTTGCTCATGGCCAATGACCTCACCTAAGCCTGGGGCTCTGTCAGCTGGTGATTTCAGTTTGGAATAATCCACTTTTCCTACATTCATTTTCATCTTACTCTTCCAAGCAATTCAACATTTAAAATCTCAAGGATAGGAAATAAGTTTGTTTGCACAGGACTTTAAAATGCTAAAAGTCAGGAAAAAAAACAGCACTTAAACCAGCAAATCTTCTTTCAGACATTTTTATTCACTTATGTCACTTTCATTTCTTCAAATTCTTAGAAAACAGTCTGGCTGTTGGGCTGCTGATTATTTTTCTTGGCCTCTTCTTAACCCTATTACCTTTGGTGTAAATAATCTGATACAGGAGAATGGCTGACAGAACTGACAAATAAATGGAAATGTGCTCCTCTACAAGAAGCTGTGAAAGGAGGGAAGGAAGGGTGTTGCTCTCGGGCAATCCCAAAGAGCTTTAATAATAAGCATACATGAAGCAGGAAGCAGGCTCCAAGAGATGGCTGAAGCATTCACAAGGACTCTGCATCATTTCAATTGTTCAAAAGTCAAACACAACCATGAGAAAAATATGATGTAAGGAATTCTCTTGTTATTAAGGAGCAAAGGCCTCCCACACAAACTGTCAGGTCCCTCCATGTGCAATGTGAAATGCCTATTAGATAAATAAATGCTCCTTTCCTGATCTGCTGCATGGCTTACCTCACCAAGACAGCCTTCCTTCACCATGTATTTCCTAACATGATTCCAGATGCGGCTTTTGCTCAGCAAGCTGCCACCGGTGGCCTGTTCAAACTTTTCATAGCTTCCGTATTTCTGCAGTGTCCGCTCCATAATGTTAATGGACTACAAAATACAAAAGCATGGCAAATATGAGCACAGTGAGACCCTGGTGTCAGGCTGGCACATCTGCTTTTTCTTTTCTTTCTCCGTCTCTTTTTCACCTTCCAACTTTTGACTCACTGGGAGTCTCTATGAAACTGCAGCCAATAAACCTAGTTTCAACATTCAGACACCGATGCCAAAGTACTGAAAAATGATTCTGACTCACTCATCTTCAATCTGTGTACATAAGCACAACACCGATGATTATCGCTTCAGTGAAATTTTCCCTTCAATCCTGGGAAAGCTGTATGACTGTCTTGCAAATCAGATACAGCAGGTCACAAGGACATCTGCAGGTTAAGTTGTCAGCACGTTTTTTAATGATTTTCCAAATAATTTTACCTATATGTACTATTACTATCATGTTATTTCAATTCTTGTTATTTTCTTCACTAGGAATCATAGAATCGTAGAATCACAAGGGTGGGAAAAGACGTCCAAGATCACCCAGTCCAACCATCCACCTACCACCAGTATTTCCCCACTGAATCACTTAGTACCACTAAACTTAGTATAATATCTAAACATTCCTTGAACACCTCCAGGGACAGTGACTGCACCACCTCCCTGGCAGCCCATTCCAGTGCCTGACCACTCTTTTGGAGAAGAAATTTTTCCTACTATCCGATCTTAACCTCCCCTGGAGCAACCTGAGGCCATTCCCTCTCATCCTGTCACTAGTTACACAGGAGAAGAGGCTGACCACCACCTTGCCACCTGACCACCACCTTCCTTTCAAGGAGTGTAGAGAGCAATAAGGTCTCACTGTGGGCAAGAAGCAGAGCACGATGCCTATAAAGTGATCAGAACTCTGCATGTTGAAGATGTCATTGCTGGGCTGTGGAATGCTCATTCCCAATGATCTACTTCCCAATATATTATTTCACATCCTTAGAAGAAAACGTAACTTAGAATACTCAGCCACAGGGAATTGCTTTTTTTTTCAGATAGGAGAACAGAAGCTCCCAGGAACATCAGAAAGAAAATACGACTGGTATTACTTTAAAGAATGCATGTGCTTGCTAGGAAAATGCCACTAAAATGATGGTGGAAATCTTACAGACTGAATCTCTTTTTACACTACACATTTATAGCCATGCAACAAACTGATAACAGGCTTGTCTCCAGCTGTGTAATTCTGGCGTTGTCAGACTGGCTTACCAGCTGCAGAAAGAGGATTCTCACAGCTACTAAGAATCTCATTCTAGTATTTTTCAAGTTGAAACTAAGCAACTCTGAGTAACTGTCACAAAAGCCATAGGTGCTACTTATGGCATGTTTTTGTAGTCACGTATCTCTTTGATGAAAGATGAATTACCAGAATGAATGCCAAAGTGTCTTACTTTCAACTGTGATGGAATTGTTTTCTTCAGAGTGTCTGGTATGATGCCATGTTTTGAGTCTAGGAAAAAAACAACGTTGATAGCACACTGATGTTTTTAGTTATTGCTGAACAGTATTGTAGAGAGCCAAAGTCATTCTATATTCTCAGCTCACACTAACAAAGGGCTGGGAGTGGACAGAATCAGGGCAGCTGACTTACACTAGCCAAAGGGACGTTCCATACCATATGACATCATGTGGAAGGAGTTCTCAAGGAGGTGGGAGTTCATCTCACTCTCTTTTGCTGCTCAAGAAGCTGGGCATCAATTGGGGGTGGTGAGCAATTGCTTCTGCATCACTTGTTATATACAGTCACATACATATATAGTCATAATTATTATCCTCTTCCTTTTCTGTATCTTAGTATCCTTCTGTATCTCAACCCATGAGTTCTGCTTTGTTTTTTTCAATTCTCTCCCCCATACCACTGGGAAGAAAGGGGAGTCAGCAAACGACTGCATGGTGCTGAGCCACCTGCTGGATCAAACCACAACACGAAGAAATACTGCACTTAATGCTCAGTATTTCTTTGCTTGTTTCTCATACTTAATATTACATTTGAAAGGCCTTCCGATCCGCTCTGATTTTTTTTTTCCAAGACTAAAGTTAGCAGCATGTTCCCCCCAGCAGGACTCCAGCACAGAAGGCTCACAATAAAACCACCCTGTGTTGTGAGATGAAGCCTGTCTCCTCCCCTGTGGCTTTAGCTCTCCAGCCACTGTGCTACCTCCAACCTCAGGCCTTGGCAGGATCTTGGAGCTGTCATGCTCTAGGCTCATCTGTGGTGGATTTGGGATGGCCATGGCCCAACACAGCACCCCAAGATGAAGTCCTGCCACAGGGAACTGTGTGCCTCCTCCAGGCCTCATGGCACCAGCCTCGCTCCCAGAACCCAGCCCATTTTGGCAGCTGGCCCCTGTGGCCTACATATCTGTATACTATGATGTAAATGGGACTTCCCAGTAACTTCTTTGTACACTAGGATGTATAAATGCAGGGGCATAACATAAATAAAGGCTCGAGAGATGTTTCTTTGTTAGTAAATCATTAATTTTCCTGTGAACAGTTAGGTCATGACATCACATATCATTTTAAAATGACTTCAGACAAACAGAGCAATGTCAGTATCTAATTTAAGTGTAAAAAAAAAGGAATACATGAATCCCTTACTAAAGGCATAATATTTCTGGAGACTAACAGCAACTGGAACATGGACTTCAACCCACATGGCAACCTGTCTCAAACAAGATGTCCAAAGCCTTTCACAACTATGTCAGCTTCATAGTAATAATAATAATACCCTGCTGTGTTCAGTAGGACTTTTATAAAAATGAGAGAGATGAAGATGCAAGATGTGATAGAGCTGCACCAGTCTGAGCTGTAGCACAGGCCTGAGTCGAAGCCCTCTCATGAGGCCAAAGCCAGGGAGTGCAGTTCCCCAGGCAGCTCAGATAGGTCTTTCTGCATTCAAATGTACTTTGTACAGTTGCATAGAATGGAAATTCCACTCAAAAGTTTTCAGTAATGTGATCTGAAATTCTGTAAATCCTGTGGGTAGGACTGTTTGGCTTCATATTCTCTGAAAGTTGTTTAGTGCAGAAACTTATGCAGGGATGGATGTCATTCTCCAAAGAGGCCGGGATTTGGTCATTTCCATTTTAAGGAATCTTAAGGCATCTTTTAGTATCCATCATTCAGGCTATCTTCCTCTACCAGTAAATCCAATAAGGCCAGGGCATCGGCTCTACTGCTGGAATGAGTCCATCCACTGAGCTTAGCTGTCAGAAGGTCACAGGCAAGCAATTTCAGGCAACACCTGGCCTTGACTGACAGGTCCTACAGTCCTTGTGCTACCAACAAAAGGGAACGAGGCCACTGCATTTTATACGTGGAGTGTTCAGCCATAAGAACATGAGTCACATCTTGTTGTTTGCCCTCTGGGCCAGAAAACAAGATGAGGATTGTTTTATTTATTAGTATGTCTGAAGCCTTGCAGTTTCCCTGACCACACTAGCTGCAGCCTGCTCAATCAACGGGCAACATGGAAAGAGAAACATGTGAGAGTAACAGCTAAATTCTAGTTGGTTTTGAACAGTGCCCTGTTAAGAAGTCATGGAGAAAGTCAACAAAAGACTTGGAAATCAGCTCCTGTTCTCTACTTACAGGACCGACTTCCATCCAAACTAAAACTTGGACAAGAGAGCTTGTTGTGTTCCTTCTTTTCTTCTAGAATAAGTCTTTTCAACAGATTTTTTTATTGCAGAGAAGCAGGAACACTGGCACCACTGCCAGTGCTGGAGTATGGGAGAAGAATTTTGGTGCTTTGATCACACCAAAACCTCTGAAGAGAAAGGCTGCCGCAGGAGCCTCATCACACATCCTCCCTACATTTAATTCCAATCTCCTACCATAGGAAGGGACATCTTCTAGTAGACCAGGTTGCCCAAGGCCCCAGCCAACCTTGCCTTGAACATTTCTAGGGGCGAGGCATCCATATTTTCTTTGGGCAGCCTGTTGAGTGCCTCACCATAGCCAACAGCCAATAATTTCTACCTTGTGTCTAATCTAAATCTACACTTGCATTTTAAGAGCATTATCCCTTGCTCTATCTGTATACTCCCTGATAAAGAGTCCCTCTGCAGGTTTTCTGTAGGCCCCTTTAGGAACTAGAAGGCTGCTAATAAGGTGCCACTGAAGCCTTCTCCTCTCCTAGCTGAACAACCCAGCTCCCTCAGCCAGTCTTCACCCGAGAGGTTCTCTAGCTCGCCAGTCATCCTCTTGGCCTTCTCTGGACCCATCCAACATTCCATTTCTGTCCTGTGCTGTGGGCCCCAGACCTGGCTGACATACTCGGTGGGGCCACACGAGGGCAGAACGGAGAGGGACAATCACAACCTTGTCCCTGTGATACAGCCCAGTTTCCATACCTCTTGAAAAGAGGACAGCTCGGGAGTCCTGATGGGTACTGGAGAACTGATGGACAACAGCAGGTTTGAGGAAGCAGAGGACTGACAAACACTGTTTCTTCTCAACATGAGAACACATTTAAAAAAGAATATTTGAGGAGGGTGTGTAGACTTTAGTAATCAGTTCTTTTTCACTACTGTTTGTAAAGATCAATTACTACTACAAGGTGCAGCTTTTTGTATGTTGGTTTAGACATGAGTTGGCGTGCAATGAACTTTCTAAAACCACCTAATCATAACAAATAGCAAGAAAAACATTGAACATGCATGAGACCTTCTGCTTGGCTCTCCATAAAAGAGACTGCAGTGCTGAACCCTAGGCACACCAAGAGAGGTGGCAGGAGTTTGGGAGTCAGGAGACCACATCTTTGCTTTGCTCCATGCCTTCACGTTGCCCTCCTGAGTTCTCCCCAAACTCAGCTCTGTCCTCTTCCACTTCAATCACAGCTAAGCGTTGCAGCTTCCAAAGGAAGGGTAGGATGCATGAAGAAGAGTGCCTCCTCTTACACCTACCATGTGGAATAACCCCTATGCTGACAGTTCAGACACATGCAAAGAGATGTTGTGAGTGTGAAGTCACATTCATTGAGAAAGTCATGAAGCTTAAGCCTCCTCTTTGCTGAACGTGTATTCTCTTCAAAACTACTTAAAGGGTGCTCACCACTATCACCTTCTCCCATGACTGTGTTTCAAGCAAAACAAATCCTGAAGCACTGAAAGAACAGAGAGAGCTGTCACACAAGCACTTCTGCCAGAACACAAATCTCTGGGAGGTGGCAGATAGGACTTGTCCCAGTGATGCTGCCGATTTGGACACTTGCCACAATCACTTCAAGTGAGATGGAAAAGGTTTGGGACTTTTTAGCATCCCAGGCACTGAGTACAACACAGAACCCCTCATGCGGGTTTCTACTCCTGTCTCTGAGATGACTCAAAGTCAAGTGTTGCAAGAACTTGCTGGGAAAATACAGAACAGGATGCCAGCTCTTGGTCCTTCCAGCACACAACAGTGAGCTTATTTTCTGGCCTTTGGGCCTAGTAAGGAAAAGCAAGTTACTTCCACTGTTCACAGAGACAAATTCTCAAGCAATATGGAAAGGACCAGAACAAAAGAACTATTTGACTGTCCTGGGTCACTGGTTAGGAGAAATAAGCCCTGTTCTTTTCACTACTATCTAAAGTGTCTCACTGAACCACTTTCATCACTGTTAAAAGAAACATAATTTACAAGACAAGAACCCCCTGCACAACAGATTCTGCTGATGATCATGGAAGTAATGAAACAGAACTAATGAGAGCAAAGCAAAATTCTGTGTAATTATCAGGTTTAGGTTTTGATAGTGTTGGCTTCTTGAAATTATTTATAGCCAAGGAGTATTCTGAATCCCAAATCATCCATGTGTAGCAGTATAACTTAGTCACTCAGAAACTATCGTAGTTGTATGTACTGATAAGACACACTCATGAATAGTTTGAGGCAACCAACTTAGAAAATGGGCTCAGTGACCCAGGGGCCAGCTTCCCACATTCAGCTGCCAGGCTGAGCTGAGATCTGTGGGACAGATCTCCACTGCTTACTGCCCTGCACAGCTTGTCTGTGTGTGAAGCAAGGGGAAAAACCTCCCAGATGCATGCTTGGGGAACAGTGGGCTGTATCACATTGAACATATTGGTCTTATTAACAGCCATAAAGTGGGCTTTTTTTTTTTTTTTTCTTTAAACTAATTTGGATCTGGCAGAAATATTCCTAATGAAATACTCATCATTTCTTTTTTTAAATGACACTGTGTCCTGAAACAAATTTCTGCCCCTACAGCAATATCACCAGGAGCCCTCTTCCACCCTAAAAACTGTGCTACTTAGGTGACACCATCAGCCTCATGTTGTGTGTTGTATGGGAACTGCTGAGCCATAGCCTGAGCCACTGATTGCTCACCTGAGGCAAGCACTGAGTCAGCCATGGGAGCACAGGTGAAGGCGATTGAGCTGTGTGATGAAGGGTGGAGCCTGGCTGCACCTCTCCTAGACCCCATTTAAGGGCTGACTGCCACTGGGGAAGGATCTCTTGCTGGAGATTGCTCTTGTGGAGTTAACTGTGAGCCTAGAATGCTGGTGAGCATTTTCATTTATTTTTTTGATTATCTTTCCATTGTTATAATCTTACTAAGACTAACCTCTGTATGCTTATTAATCGTACTAAGTTTAACCTCTGTATACTTATTGATCATACACATGTTAATGATATACTTTAACTACAAATCTTATGAGTGTATTTAGTTAGGAGCAGAGAATAACATGATTCAGTTAAGTGCTCCTTAGGGCCAGTGATGCATTCTTGGGAGTTCAACACACCTCATCTGTGACCTGACCTGTACACTGCAAGGGGTTACCATGCTGAAAGTCTTGTCACTTGCTTTCCAGCTCCACTTAACAACTAATGTGTATGTGTGTAATGAAAACAGAGCATGGCAGAATTATTTATTAACTCAAAACTGCTGTTTTCTTATTCCTAAAAGGGAAAAGGCTGTTTCCCTTTCACAGGAGGGATTACTCACTCAACAAAATGATGACTTATTTAAAAGGCAGCTTTCCTGCCTTTTTGTACAGCTCAAGAAATAGAAGTGTTCCCAGGCAGATTACTTGAAGTTGCATCTTCTCTGCTGATTTTGGTTCATGTTAAGTCATGTGCCCTGCAAGTGGTCTGGGGGGATAATTATTTCTGGCTAAGTGTTGCCACCTATGGCATGTGTGCAAAAACACATGGCTTAAGTGTTGATTTCTAAAAAAACAATGAGGGACAAGTGGTTTGAGCAAGGAGAGCAAGTAAGAAATTTCATAGCACTGCTATAGCATGAAGCTGCTACACTGATCTTGAAGCACATTACAGGTGTCAATCAAAGTGAAAAGCCACAAGCCTGGATACTGCTTTTTATTTCTCAAGTTCTTTTCCCTAGGAGCACACTTTGTGTGACTCAAGAAAGATCTGCATTGTGAAGAAAAGCTGATGTAAAAGGAAGTGAGAAACAAAGCAGAGTTTGGAAAGAGATGTTAGAATGACTATTTTCAAGTGTATTAATCAAAAAATGTTTACTGCACGACTATGCAAAATCAACTATTAAAAGAGATGGGCTATGCCTGATGTTGAAAGTTTTCTTTGATTCAACTAAAGGCGTGAGGACAGATGTGGCTGCTCACAGGCCTGTGTATCCCCACTGCAGAACTGCTAATGGCTTGCAAGTCCTTGCTGTTCTTTGTCTTCCTTTAATTTAATAGAGCAAGCAGTGTGATTCATTTTCCAGAAATGTTTCTGCAGTGCTACATGAACCTGGTCCACAGTTCTGTACGAAAGCAGAAAGGAGGACAGGAAAATATGGCCTGTCTTCATGTCCTGCAGGCGATACACAGTTGTGGGTGAAAATAACTTTGAAATCCTTGGAGATCCTCTAAAATTCTGAAAATGTCAGGTTTTGATCTCATTTAACTGAAGTCCCAGCCCCTCTGCTAGGGAACTGGTGGAAATTTTGATTCATGCCATTTTTCTGGACGGTAAACTTGCAGGAAATGAAATTCCTGTGTGTGGGATGAGGATTTGTAAAGCCAGCTGTAAACGAAAGCAGTGCCACCTGCTGGGCTTGGAACTGTGCTAAAGCTGGGTTGTTGTTTTGTTTTGTTTTTTTTTTTAGGTATTAATATGAAGTGCAGGATTTTCCTCAGTATTTTTAGGAGCTGAAACTTCCAAGAAACGCTTTTCTTTCTAAAAACTCTGCAACAAAATAGTTTCAAAAAATGGAGGAATAATTCATTATATAAAAGGAGGAATTTTCATAATGGTGTGGTTTGGCAGATCAGTGTTGATTTGCTGGAATGGTTGATGTTGTTACCTTTGTTAGCCACAGCACAGCAAAATGGGAGCTCAGTTCTAAGTACAGAACAGCTCTTCTCCTATAGAGAAAATAATTTCTTAATAAAACCCTGACAGAGTTTTTTTTTTTTTTAAACATAATAATACAGACTCTGTCTTTCAATATGGTGACCAAACAAATGGCTAACACCACCAGTGTACTTTCTTGGATTTGAAAATAAATGTCAGATCTTTCAAAAGTAAAGGTCAATTACTAGGACTCGATGTAATTTAATTCAGGATTCATTTGTCATCAAGAATTTGGGTTTTTTGAACCCAAATATTCATATTGCATATGAATGAAACCCATCCAGTGGGAAGACTTCTTCCCAAGCACTGCATTCCTTGTAACACAAAGCCCTGTTTAGAAAAGCTTGTCAAACATGATAGTTTAGGAAGATTTTCTCAAAAAAAAAAAACAGGGAGCAAAGAAGTGGAGAAGGGCTCTTTCTTGCATAGATAAGCAATGTGTTTTTTATATGTAAGCTGAAGGTTAAGGGAAGAAATCTCTTTAGATTTTGTTGTGGCTGCATATTATGGGGGAAAAACATGGGTTTCTTTTAACTACCTCTGGACTGGGATTTCAGTCAGGATCAAGGACATAGCAGTGATCTGCTGCATGATTTAGCTTAATGTAATGCAAATACCCTTTCAAAAGCAATTAAAACAAGGAAAATCAACATATTAAATATAGTCAATAACCGTGACATCAAATAACTGCCATCTCCTCCCAGTCTTTGTGTCACCCAAGAGAACTGGCAGCGTTTCTGCACTGCTTTTTTCCCCTGTTTATTAAAGCCTCCTTATGCTTTGTATTATTTCTGTCCTACACTCTGCTTCATTGACTAAAAAGTTCTTTTGCCTTAACTGGATTTACATGGAACATAATTTATGAGAAATGTCTTCTGCCTATTGAATCTTTTAACTATTAGGCAGGCTTTCATCTTCCAGTCAAAAAGACAGCTGTATTATGTTATGCCCTCAACACTGATGCACTTTTCAAACAACACAGGAGAAAGGCAAAGAGGAGCAACTTTCACCTGCCACAAAGGCAAATACCACCTTTATAAATGTGGAAGGAATAAATAGGAGAAAAGGAGAAAAAATGTAACCATACCTGCTTAAGAAATCTGTCAGATGCTTGGCTATGCTTAGCTAATATGTTTGGCAAAGCAGGGTTTTCATATTCAAACTGAGGATTGTATGTGAAATCTGACTTAAAGAACTTCATTTTCTCTTTCTCCACGTTGGAAGGCTTGATTGCAGTTAGCAAACATTGCTTTCGGCTGGAATCATCTCCCTCTTTCCCATGGCTTTTTGATGATGGGGACTGCTTTGGCTTTGTCTGATTACAGTGCCTCTTAGCTCTGCTTCTGGGTCGAGGTGGCAGTCCTATGCCATTCCCTGCAGCTGAGATGCTGTTTGCAAGCTTCACGCCATTAGAGATGGGGCTGGAGATGAGGACAGAGGGCTGCTGGTCTGAGCAGCACCACCCACTGCTGAGCAAGGGCAGTGGGACCTTGATTTTGCAGTGCTCGTTGCTTCGCAAGGTGCTGGAGCACTTTGTGGCTTTCCTGTGTTTCTTGTGGTGAGCAGGTGACTGCTTCTGAGCATGGTGCTTCTTCTCTTCCTTGCTCTGCAGAAGGACGTTGTAGCTGCTGGTTCCCGTTGTAAAAATGTCCTTAAGGACCCCAGGAGATGGATGCTGGAGGCTCTTCTCATTATTGACATTCAGTTTATGTTCTTCTGGACTCAGGATTGATTTCTTAGACAGTTCTTGCTTAGGCCAGTGAAGTTTTTCTGCATTCATGGGGGGGGGGGGGGCCAAGAAAGAAGCTGAAAGCAAATTTGATGGTTTCACATCTTAAAAGATTCAACAACATAAATGAAATGCACAGCTTCACTATGGTCACATCATGTTCAACTTAACTTCTAGACAAATGGAAGAAGTTTGAGTGAGTGCCTGGCCTTTAAACACTTCCGTATGGATTTGTGATATCAAGTCAAACAGGTGATTTGTGCTTAACTCTCCATGTACAAACACACATCTTGTCTGAGAGTGACCTGCCTGTGCTGAACCACTGACTTGTTTAAAATGAGATTCTGTGTGTGGCTTTATGAATGTGCACTCTCAAACTTCTAAGCTTTTGCATGGATAAGCAACTTAGCAAATAAGAAACAGTAAAGGAATAAATGGGTGCTGTTCACAGTGATGTTCCACTGGGATTGGTGCAGTGATAGAAGCTGCCTGGTGTGGTCTCATCTGCTAAATCTGATTGACAGAACTTCCTCTCAGAAAGGATAAGAACACTACAGTGGGCCAGCTGCAGAGGGCAGCTTGCTATACCATGCAAACAGCACTGTAAATTTTAAAGGCCTCAGTGCTTGACATATGTGAAGTGCTCTCTGTATTACGAAGGAGTATTGAAAAGTGAAAGAAGTGTTCAGCTAGTTCCTAGTAGAGTTGTCCTACAACAATAGCCAGCATTAAGGAGAAGCAGCATTGCAAACCAGTACAGAAGGAGCAAATATGGTTCCTTTAGCAAGGGAGCTCTCTCCTCCTGCTCTCACCCTTGCCAGGGGCTACATGGGAGGGAGGTCCCTGCAGCATGCAAAAGGCACTGAGCATTAAGACTGCATTTAACATTCCTGCTGGCTCATTAGATGTGACCTCTTCACTAGTTCCAGCCTTCCCTCAGCAGAGAGTTCCTCCTGGAGCACTGGGTGAGCCCAAAGTCAATGCACAAATATTTCCTGCCACAAAAAAAATGCTGCTTACTTCTGCATCTAAAGTAAGAGGATTCACAGAATAGGAGATATGGTCAGAGCCTGATTAAAGGCTCCCAAGAAGGGATTTGAGCTCCAGTCCATAGTTAAACATAGCAGAGCTGTAATTACTTTATGTACAGTAATTATACTCTGAATGGAATATTAGCAAGAGATCATTAAATGCCTCCCAGGAAAATAAATCAATAGTAGTTTAATTCCAGCTTTATTTTCACAGGAAAATTAGGTTTTCCTCTCAACATAAGCTCCGTGGCAAAGTATTTCACACTTCTGAAGCTGCCAGTGCAATGTTAACTTCCACCCCTCAGTTCTGCTGTCTGAAGACACTCTGAAAAGCAAGAAGACAGAGGTCCAGTTTGTGTGAAGAGATGATGAGGAACACCAGCCTAAGACCTTACTCTAGCAGAAGACAGAGGTAGAAATGTTAAGATGCTTCTCTTCTGCTAAAGCAAGTATTTGTAACTGCTTCTTTGGCAGTAGGCTTGAGAATTCGGTTCCAAAGCTTGGTGCAGGAATGAGTGCCTTGGTCAGATGCTATGGGATCACTGCCATTGCTGTTGTGACAGCCAGCCCACCTGGCTCACCTCGCTGTTCTGTAGGCTGGGGAGGAACCATCTCAAGGAGAGTTAGCAGCCATACAGCCAGGAGGCTGTGTGATGAGCTCCCATCTGCAAACAGCTGCCAGGTAGCAAGAGGTGCTTTTGGACAACACCATGTTTGCACTTGAGTATTTCTTGGCAAGTGTTGGAGATTGATTTTTGGGGCTATGCTAAGTATAACAGGATGAGAATCCTTGAGAAGGATACACGAAAGGCAAGGAGTTAACATTTCTGTGTCCAGAACATATGATTTTGCTTACTGAGGAAAATCTGTAGGTGGGAATTCAAGGCCTACATCTCAAACAGCACAGATGGATGATGTGATATCAAGGGCAGTAGTGCTTCTCCTTCCCTCTGGATCCATTCTCAGAAGTTACAAAAAGCAGAGCAGTGAGCCTTACATTGCCACTATCTTATATATTTGTATGAATTTACATTTTAAAATGATTAAAATGCATATAAGCTATATATACTGTATATATCACATAAACTACATTATACCTAACTTTTATATTTCACATATTCTATATATGCTTTATATAAATCCTACATAAATGTTATACACACCTTACAGTATTTTATCAAAATCTGATATAAATTTGAATATATATACATCTAATATGTCTCATATGCATTTCCTATGCTCTTTATATAATTTTTCTTTATTTCTGATATGCATACCATATACATCTTATATTAATTTGATATAAGCAATATAAATACCAGGAAAGCTGGCCACTCCTCAGGAAGGAAGTCTTAGAAGAGCAGGCTGTCTGCCTGTGCTGTAAGATGAGCCAGAAGGGAACAACATCAGCATGGGTGAATAGGGAACTTTTTCTGAGGCTCCGGGAGAAAAAGAGAGTCTGCCTCTGGTGGAAGAAGGGATGGGCAACTCGGGGAGAATACAGAGAAGCTGCTGGGATATACAGGGAGAAAATCAGAAAGGCAAAAGCCCTGAACTCAACTCAACGTGGCCACTAAAATATAAAGGTAACAGAAAACTGTTCAATAAATACATTATCAGGAAGAGGAGGGTTATGGAGAATCTCTGTTCTCTACTGGACGTGGTGGGGAATGAGACCACTGAGGATAAGGAAAAGACTGAGGTTCTTAATGCCTTCTTTACACCTGTTTTTAAAAGTCAGATCAATTATTCTGGGGGTATTCCACCTCCTGGAAGTCTGGAATGGGGAGCAGAATTAACCCTCCACGATTCAGGTGGGAACAGTCAGAGGCCTGCTACTCCACCTGGTCTGTCATAAGCCTGTGGGGCTGGATGGGAACCCCCCTGAGGGTGCTGGTAGTGTGATTACCAAGATGTCTTCCACCATCTATTAGTGTTCATGGTCAGTGGGAGAGGTTCCAGAGGACTGGAAGCTTGTTAATGTGAGTCCCATCAACAAGGAGGGTTGTAAGGAGGATCCAGGGAACTACAGTCCTGTCAGCCTGACCTTGGTGCCAGGGAAGGTTGTGGAACAGATCATTGAGTGAGATCACACAGTGTGTGTGGAACAACCTGGATCAGGCCCAACCAGCATGGGTTTGTGAAAGGCAGGTCCTGCTTGGCCAACCGCATCTTCTATGATCAAGTGACCTGCCTGGTGGATGAGGGAAAAGATCCTTACGTAGTCTATCTGGACTTCAGCAAAGATTTTGACACTGTGTCCCTCAGTATTCTCCTGAAGTAGCAGGCAGCCCATGGTTTGGACAAGTACGCTGTTTGCTGGGCAAAAAACTGGCTGGATAGCCTGGCCTGGAGAGCTGGTGAATGGAGTTAAATCCAGCTGGTCATTCGTCATGAATGGTGTCCCCCAAAGGTCAGTACTGGGGTCTTGTTCAATATCTTTATTAATGACCTGGATGTGGGTATTAAGTACACCTGCAGTAAGTTTGCAGATGACATCAAGTTGGCAGGAAGTGTTGGTCTTCCTGGGGGTAGGAAGGCCCATAGAGAGATCTGCACAGGCTGAATCACTGGGCTGGAGCCAATGGGATGAAGTTCAACAAGGCCAAGTACCGAGTCCTGCACTTTGGCCACGACAACCCCAGGCAGTGCTACAGGCTTAGGGCAGAGTGGCTGGAAGACTGTAAACTGACCTGAATGTGTTGGTCAATGCTCATCTGAACGTGAGCCAAGTGTTCCCAGGTGATCAGGAAGGCCAATAGCATCCTGGCTTGTATTAGAAACAGTGTTGCCAGCAGAAGCAGGGAAGCCATCATGCCTCTGTACTCAACCCTGATGAGGCTGTACCTTGAAAACTATGTCGGGTTTTGGGCCCCTCACTACAAGACATTGAGGCCCTGGAGTGTGTCAAGAGAAGGGCAGTGAAGCTGTGAGGAGTCTGGAGCACAAATCTTATGAGGAGCAGCTGAGGGAGTTGGGATTGTTGGTCTGGAGGAGGCTCAGGGGAGACCTCATTGCACTCTACAACTTCCTGAAGAGAGGCTGTGGTGGGGTGGGGGTCAGCCTCTACTCTGAAATAACCAGTGACAGGATGAGAGGGAATGGCCATAAGTTGCACCAGGGGAGGTTCAGGTTGGATACTGGGAAAAACTTATTCACTGAAAGAATGATCAGGTGCTGGAATGGACTGGGAGGTGGTACAGTCAGCATCCCTGGAGGTGTACAAGAAAAGTTTAGATGTAGTACTAAGGGACGTGGCTTGGTGGGTAGGGGGACAGTTGGACTGCATGATCTTGGAGGTCTTTTCCCACCTTTGTGATTCAATGATGTATATATAAATTTTCTTTACTTCTTATATACATCTTATGTTAATTTTATTTAAACTTTATATACATTCTGCATAAATTTCATTTGCATCTTATATAGGTTGTATACAAACTTTAAGTTCTAAATATATAAATTTGATGTAAATTTTGTTTATCTAATATGTATATGTACATATAACTTTTATAAACATCTAATATCTAAAACACGACTAATATAAAGTTGATATAAATTTTAAATACATTTGATTTAAATTGTATATACTTCTGTAATACGTATGCAAATTTTAAATAAATTTTATATAGATTATATAAAGCTGCTCTGAGGTGTATAAATTCTCATGTCCTTTTTTATATTTCCATCTACACAGCAGAAAACAAATAGCACATGCCCAAATTTCCCAGCTACCTTTGAGAACTCACTAAAATACCTAATGTTTGCACATAGATTCTCTCCACTGATCTAGCTGGCAGGCTCAGAAGTCATAAAGCCCCAAATCCATCAACTGTGAGAAACAAGTAACAAAATCAGCACGGTCTCTCCTGGAAAGACCTTCTCAGCACGTTTACTTTCACCTATTTATATCTTGTTCCTCTCCACAAGAGCTGCAAAAACATGAATTCTGGACATACTGGTGAATTATAAACTCAACAACCAGCTGGATTTGGGAGGATACAGCAGTAATGTAGAAAGAAGGAGGAAGGCACAGATGAGTTGGCATTAGTAGGGTACCAAGAGATGGAAAATCCTCCTCCTCAGTAGAAACATCATCTTTGTCAAGTCAGGACACTGCTCTGAATCTTTTTTGATCAGCTGAGTTTGGTTTTTGCTGCCCTGTGAGGTGGGTTACCAGGGCCAGTTCCACCGTGTCTGGGACAAGGATGTGCTTTTCCATCCTGCCCACAAGAGCAGAACCAGGTCCTGCCCCATCCCAAAACCCATCGTTTACAAGATACCTGCTGGAGCTTTCAATATTGGGCTAGGTCTGTACTGCAGGCACAAATATACAAACCACACAATATACTACAGCCATGATTTTGCTGTCACTATGTGATTTTTTGTTGTTTACTCCTGCATACCTTCATTCCTGAATGTGCAGCTATTCCAGCAACATGATGGTACTGGAGAAGGGATGTACTCCAAACCTGCCAACAGCACGTATGTGGGTGCCACACATTTCATAATTCTGCACGAAGGAAATACTTTACTTGCTTAAGTTGCATACTTCTTATCCACTCACTAGCTTTGGATCTTGTGGCATTGCACATTCTGCCTAATCTTGTCAGAGGCTGTTAGAAGAAATGTTTTATTTTATAATGTTCAGAAACTAGGTTATACTGATGGTTTCCTTTTGAAGTAGCGAGCTAATACTTTACTGTGTTCATAGCATGTGTAGTAAGAACTGCATGAAAGATTTTTTCCCTCAGATTTTGGACAGTATTGCAGAAAAAAAATCTTCTTTACCTAGGCTACTAAGTCTCTACTACCCAACAAGTTCTAATACACTTGTTCCATAGGTGGCACAAGGTGAATGATGGCAGATATCTGTGGGCATGGATCAATCTCTGCTCAGCTAGATGTGCTCTATAAAGCACAGTGAGCTCCTGTGGTTTTTGAGCAGCTGCCACTGGGGTTATATATGCATAAAGGACAAATCCTATCCAAACTCCAAGTGTGCTTCTTACAGAGCTTAGCAAAGATGTTATTGGAGAGGTTCCCTTATCCTAGGAATGTAACCATCCCAGTCGCTGCTTTTGTTCTTCACTTCTGCGCTACCATTTTAGAATATATTTGAGTTTATCTGTTCAAAATGAGGAAATGCTTCCAATACCTGGGCTTGGATTTTCAGGTTTATAAACAAGCAAATAATTTGTGATTTGTCTGTAAGCAAACAGTGAAGTCCAAAAGATGAGAATATAAGATTGTAACAAGTAACACTCCTCCTTTGGTACACCTTACGAATGTACAGTAACATTACAAAGACCTTTATTTCAGGTATTCAGGGAACGTGAACGGATTAAAAAGCTACATGAAGTTAATCAGATCCAACGATTTAGGGTTGAGGAGGGCTGTCAAAAGAATATTCTGCAACAAGCAGGCACCCGAATGAAGCAGACCCGTGGCTGTCGGTGGTGACTGTAATGGGTTCTCTGTGACAGGTCGAATTTAACCGAGAAAAAGAGCCGCGGGAAAAATATCACCTCACATCGCCCACCCTGCGTGTTTCCCGCGGCAGGAGCGGGGAAAGCGGCGCCGCCTCGCCTCAGCTCCAGCCCTAGCCCTAGGGCAGCACCCCCGGCAGCGGTACTCACCGGTGACACGGATGGATTCCAGCATGGCGCTCCGCCGTCCCGAGGCCCGCCCGGCCGCCCCTGGGCCAGCCGGCAGCAGCCGCCCCGGCGGAGCGCCCGCCCTCAGCTGCCGACTACAAGTCCCAGCGTGCCGCGCGCCGCTACAGCCCCGCGTGCCCCGCGCGGGAGTGCCGAGGTGCACGCTGGGAGTTGTAGTACGAGAGGTCACCCCCCAAACAGAATACTTGTAGCTTCTCCCCGTGGCGTCAGCCCGTAAGGCTGGGAAACCCACAGTGCGCTGATGCTGCTGAGAAGCCCTGTTTCTGTCCCATCCGGGATCCCCCTTTTTTTTTCCACCCTGCCAGACTCAGCTTCTAGGCACTCTTCACGTGCACACACAGCCGTCTGCCTGAAGGGTGGTCCAGCCACGCAGACTGCTTATCTGATAGTTCTGGCTTCTTTTTACAAAGAAAACTAAGGAACAGAGATATGAAGGCACGTATTCTACCCAGTCCTACCTGACACGTGAGGACAGGGACTCCTCAAGCAATCTATAACAAGGCTGAAGCTCCAAAACCAGCTGCGAGGACACTGAGGTTCCATTTTTCGCTGTCACTGACATGCAGCCATACCTCGCTGTCACACCTAGCATCCTCTTTAGCTTGAATTCCTTCAGGAAGAGCGATGATGCATGCTCTGTCAACGTGCCCAAGTTTCACCTAAAAGAACCTCTTTGCTAGCACAGCTAGAAAAGGAGCTTGAAAAAGGCACCCACAGGCTTGTTGCCAACTCTCAGATCGCAGGAGCTGAACAGTTTTAAATATAGCTAGATAAAGCTGTCACTAATCAGTTGCATGTTGCTTGTGACATACGAGAATTACAGGAAAAAAAATCCATTAGTGAATTGGTTCAAGCAGTGGAAATAATCCGCATAGCAGATAAAGAAACGGTGGATGGCTGCTGCAATATGAAGGCAAGATATCACTTTGTCATAACAGCAGTTCTTTCTGCTTCTTAGACTCTCCATTATCATCTTAAATGATACTTATGATTGGAAGCCACAGCAATGGAAGCGTTAACTCCAGGTTGTAACGTGAGTTATATGCTGACCTCCCTCTCCTTGCTCCCTCTAGGGCTTGCCCCCTCCATGTTTTCCATGTCCTGTCCCCTTCTCCCTGATGCCGGTGAGCCATTTTTCACCGAGTGCTTGGGCAGTCACTCACCCCTGAATCTGCTGCCTCCAGCTTTTTTCTTTTTACTTTTCCAACCTTTTTGCTTCTCTGGATGGCTTGAAGGTTTCATTAGGTCATTCTAGCTTCTGGCTCTAGCAGGAGGATGACAAAAGCAGCAGCAGAAGGCACAGAGGAGGGAAGCTAAAAGGCCAGCTGCCCTTGTATTCTTCTTTGGCTCTGAGCAAGCTTTGTCACATTTGGTGATTACCAGCATCACCTGGAAAGCTCAGTCAACAAAAACACTGTTAAGTATCTCAATAGGAAAAAAATGCTATATATATAATACATTTAATGTACCTTTAATCGTTGTGACATGCAGCTGGCATGAATTGCACTGCTGCAAGGCAAAGGGACATGGGGATAAACAGTAAGGTAATGACAAGAGCCATGCTGTGGTTTAAGTAATAATAATCTTAAATAACCCAGTTCCACAATATGAATTCAATCTCTATCTGGATGTCATTTGTTCATTGTTAGGAGACAGAATTCAAGCTAGCTTGTGCATTTTTGAAAGCTCAACTTCAACACAGCATTTATTTCAGAGACAATTCCAGCATATTTACCTGGCCAACAGTACCACCTTGAATTCCTTATAGGAGTAAAAGCATCAGTTACCTCTTTAGCATGCTTATCGAATCTGGGAGAGCATTTCATTCCTCTCTGAGCCCATGAGAAGATAACACTGAAAAACTCAAGTATATGTAACATATAAATGTATATGTGTATATGTGCATATCTGCATTTCTTGTATATATACTAAATATATGTGTGTATATACACACACACACTAATGTCTGTTCTATTTTGTTCTACTCTCACATGTCACATTCATGCACATATCTTTCTTTAACCTCTCTGTGCTAACAAAAAGGAATCATGGAGGAACTGGGAAAGCTGAGTCCTTAAAGAACTGAGTGTAATTTGGCAGTTTTGAGCTGTGCCAAATAAGGGCAAGGTCAGCCTCCCCTCTCCAAACCTAATGACTTCACTGGCTGCACATCTTCTGATCATGCAACTTCACCAGCTGACCACCCTCCCATCTGTACTCTTTCTAGAAACTCCTACTGAAACGTCTAACATTGCCAGCTGACTGCAGCTGCAACTTTCATTTCTAGTACATGGCAACGGTGACACGTGTTTGTAGGGAGCTGTTACACATACAAATGCTCCTGTTCAATGGGACTGCTATTTTAAGATACCTTGCAGCACACAGCTTGATACAGCTACATTATTCACATTGATTTATGCACTGAATTTGTTCCTGCTTTATGCCAAGGAGGCTCAATAACATAAGACATAAGACAGCCTGAATATGAGAGCATTTTTGCAAGACATAATTTGTGCAGCAATAGATGAGGCTCTATCGTGCTTGGCTGAATGGAGGCCAGCAGTCTCCTGGAGCTGGAGCCCATTCTGTGGACAAGAGGAGATCCTTTGCACTTAGCATCAGTGGTGAGCAGATGGGGAAAGAGCAGTGAGATGTTTTTTCATCAAAACATTTCACTTCATGGGACCTCTAAACCCTATCATCTAGGACAGATCAATAGAGAAGGAGGGTCTTTGCCTGTCCTGGAGAAGGTGGTCTTCTGGGAGTCTTGTTTGCAAGGAAAAGTACTGGGCTCAGTGATGGCAGATCCCAGGGTGTAAGCCCACTTTCTTTTTGCACTTAACAGGTACATGCCTGGCACTGCCACCAGGCTTTACTTTGCAGGTTCCTCCATGATTTATGGTAATGTTGCTTCTTTTTTCTTCCCACTGTAACCAGTTTTGAGTTGTGAACAATCCCTTTAAAGTGGTGCCTGTTCATTCAGCTGATGGAAGTATTTACTGTTCAAGCTTGGGAGATGCAGAAGGCGTGACAAAGTTGCCTTCAGACTTTATTCTCCTCCATTTCATCTCTGGTTTTGGAAATCCTCTGGGTAACCCCCTTATCATGGTGTGAGTCAGGTGCCAAGATTTACCGTGATAGAAACAGTGCAGCCCCATGGCACGCAGACACGGTGAGCAGAGCACATCCACTAGGCTGAGACAGGAGGTGACAGGGCAAGGACTTCAAGCCCAGGGGTCAGTGATGGGGAAATACAAAAGAAAGCATGGGCATACGAGTAACATGTCTCCAACAGAGGCTAGGATTTGGAACCACCAAATGCTTTCCCTCTCACACAAAAGGAGCTATGAACTCATTTTCATATTCCTTCAGTTAATGTCTTCTCTGTCAAAATAGATTCGAAGTACAAGCAGTCTAAAATATCAGGTATATTTAATCCTCTCTAACACATCCTCAAAGTAGCTGTATTTGTAGTTTCTACTGAAGCAGAGATGGCTACATTACCAGTGTTCCTTGTGAGTAGCCTTGTGAGGGAAAATACCACCATTACATTTTTGTAGTGTTTCTTCACATTTCGGTGGAATTTATCCCCATTGCATCTGCTGCTATTTATTTCAGATATGGGTTGGTTTTTTTTTTCCCTTTCCCAAACAAAGATAAACAGATTTTCAAAGCAAAACTCATCCTAAAATCCTGTCTAAGTAACACCCTCTAGTGTGGACATGCTACTACAGCACAGAATATCTCTTTCTTTTTTTTTTTTTTTTTTTTCCAGAGGAATTAGATAGAAAGGAAAGAGCAAATAAAAAAAAATAGTCAACTCATATAAGACAATTTCTGGTCTGGTATTTCTGGTCCCCATGAGGCAGAGGGAAACCTCTGCAAAAACAGAGATAAAAACCACAGCATGCAAAGCAAAGGAAGTGCAGGACTTTTGGCCTTAGAGGCTCCCTACCAAATCAGCACTAATGCCATTTCTTGTTGCACGTGATTCTCAGGAAGAAGAAAAGGAAAGCTGTTTCTTTATCCTAAAAGCACTAGTACTAGTGCCAGTACTAGCTCTCTTAAAGCCAACTCTGTACTTCTTATTATACTGAAATTAACTCGACTGTATTACAAAAAGTTAGAATTGTGCCAAACATTTCTCATTCTTCTGAGCAAGATGAAGTTCCAAAAACTCATACTTCTGGTACTGCTCATCCACCTTCTTCAGAACTACATCTGCTGTCCTGTTTCCGGGCTGTTTCATAAAAGAACCCACACCTTCCTCAAACGGGAGAAAAAGCCCTCCGCATCACAAGAGTTTTACAGAAATCCTTGGTATCATCAAGTAGAAAGCTGCATCAAAGAGGAATGAAGTATTTCCCAGCTCTATTTGCTGGTGCCTTGTTATCAGCAGCATCTGATTCAGCATATAATGCTGAATGGTGCCCAACAGGAGAAGCCCTCAGACCAAGGCTAACCTTCAGTTCTGCATATGGAAAGCGGGGATGGCACTTCTTTGGCCAGTTAGATTAGAGCTGCTTAGGATAACAGCAATGAAGAAAAAGAGTCATGGCCCAAGCCAGGCTACGTGGTGGCAGAGAGAGGATAAGGGGAGAAAGCCATGCTAACAGCTCAGGGCATCTTTGTGCTAGTAACACACCTTTGGAAGTGCCTCCTGCAGGCAGCAGAGTGCCACAGAAAGCCCTGCAGGACAAGTCAAGCCAGGCCTTGGTAGCAGCACCTTGGGTGGAAGCTGGAGCAGCAGGACGTTGAGCTCTCCCAGCTCCCAGGAAGCAGCCCAGCTTCCTCAGCCTGCGCTCTCAGCCTCCTGAAAGGCACATGGGCTGAGAGATGGGCCACAGTTTCTGACCAGGCAGCAGCTACCAGTGCGCAATGGCCTGAGGAGCACCTTCAGCTATGGTGCCAGCAGCACAGCAGGACACACGCCTGCCTCCTGACAGAGCCTGCAGCAAAACCTGGGCCAAAAAGCCAAGGACGAGATTTGAAGAAATAGAGCACAAAGTATTTTGTAACTTGTTTTTTAGAAATAGCTGCTTCCAAAACTGCAATAGCTTTTAGATGTTGCAAATGGTATGGATGTAGTACTATAGACTAGAAAACATGCTGTAAGGCTATTCTGTTTTGATAGAGACCCTCTGCAAAAGAAATACAATAATGAAAGCCAGGGCCTCCACACAAATCCAAATTGTCTCACTCTGGGATTAGGCTGGGATGCAACAGGCAGGCGTCAAGATACTCCCTTCTATCCTCCTTATCTTATGCACCCCAGCATGTATCATTAAAAGACAGGCTGCCAAACTTATCTCTATCCAAGGACAAGCAGATGTCCAGAAAGAATGGCTGAGTGCTGAGTGAGCAGATGTTATGATTTTGGTAATTCTACTGAGCATGCGTCCATGAAGAAAGTTCACGTAGAAGGCAAGCGAGGAAGATCACTGGATGAAGTAGAAAACCATCAGTTGGATTGTCATGATGCTAGAAGAATGCTAGATGGTAGAAAAGACCACAGAATAGAAGATTGAAGACCTCATAAATCACTACCTGAGATAGGCGTGCATATGTCAATTGCCTCACGTGTGATTGATGAATGTGTACTACCTGTGGAAATACAGTGGACTCTGAATCATGTGATGTTTGAAGTGATTATGGTGCAAATATCCCCAGTGCTTCCCGGCACCGTAATAAGCATAATTATAATAATACCTGGTTTATAACTTTATGTGGATTCTAGAATTTGATTCTCCAAGTCACCGAGCATTGTGAGAGCAAGCCTGGGGATGCTCTGAAAAGAAACTCCCTCTTGTGGAAGCAATTCTGCTTGTGGAAGTCACTAGAGAAGCAAAAAGCAGCACTTTGTGCATTTAACTCCAGGGAAAGCCAAGTTAGCTCCACGCCATGTAATGCATAGGGAGGCACGAAAGTCCCCAGAGCAGCTTGGCCTTTATCTGTGCCCATGAAATGGTGTGTGCCATAAAGGCATCAAAGAACACCTGCTAGACCAAGGCACTTCATGAAACTATCTTCAAAAGTAGTGCTGCCAATACAGTATGGCAGGTGGGGGAACAAGTGAGTGAGAAGCACGTCTTTCCTGTAATAGTAACCATTTTGTCACTGAAACCTGTTTTCTGAAGGGAAAACAAACAATCAAACACAAAAAACATTTAAAAACCTCATACCCTTCCTCATTAATACTGTCACTTCGTGCAACAGAACAGCATTACATGCTTCTTAATGCATGCTTAATTCATGATAAAGTTAAGTATGCCCTAGCATCTATGTGTAAGCTAATACATAGCCACCGAGGATCTCTTCTGCAGAGACCCTTCTGGATCTGATGAGAGCATCTCTCAAAAACAAGAGATCAGTCCACACTGCTGTGTTTTGCTATACTACAATATATACTTTGCTATACTACAGACCAACTCTTTTTCTTGCTGCTTGGAAGGGAAATCACCGTTTTCCAGGCCATATGTCCTGGAAAAGTAGGATATTTAACAAGAGGCACCTCTCCTTAGAGAGCTGGGAATGTGCAGCCTAGAGAAGAGGAGGCTTAGGGGAATCTCATCCATGTGCAGAAATACCTGATGGGAAGCTGCAAGGATGGGAAGCTAGGACAAGAAGCAGTGGGCACAAAGTGGAGCACAGGAGCTTCCTCTGAACACCAGGAAGCACTTCAGTGCTGTGTGGGTGACAGAGCACTGGCACAGCCTGCCCAGAGGCCATGGAGTCGTCTCCTTGAAGAAAAGCAGCCTGGATATGGGCCTGGGCACCCTACTCTGGGTGGCCCTGCTGGAGCATGAGTTGGACAAGATGGACTCAGAGGTCCCTTGCCACTTCAGCCATTCTGTGATTCTGTGATATTGAATGGGATCAGAGACAACAATTTTTTCTTCATTATCTTACATTTGTGATTATTTTTGTGTTGTAAAGAAGCCAAATCTACAAAATCTTTGGCTACAACTCTCCTTATTAGTTAAAAAGTATGCAAAAAAATTTAATGAAACGGTCTGTAACCCTCTGAAAGAAAAGACATCTCTGAAAACAATCAGTATGCTTAAAAAATGTGAAAGAATAATTGGGAAAATAAAGATGTTTTACTGTCCCATTAAAAGCCAAATGACTGGCTTCTGTGTCCATGCCTCCAATTCCCATGAAAACTGCAAGCCAGCAAAAAACATTCCGGAAGCACTTTGTGTTGTGTTATTTATTATTACAGAAGGGATTATTCTTCATTAGCTTAACCTCATCAAGAAGAAATCTTAAACCATATAATGTGGGCGAGGAGACAGTGAAGGGTGTGAGTCATGGTTTTCAAATGCTGAAAGCCGGCATAAAAGATAAATCTGTTTAGTAGGCAGAGCTGGCCCATTGTCCTGCTGATTTCAACATGGCATTCTTTTCTTTTTCTCCCTCTTTTTTATGCTTTCAGATTGCAAAACATCAGTTGATTTTATTTTATTTTTTTCCCTCATTGCAACTTGCCAATGGTTCTACTGAATTCTTAGGACAAAAAAAATAACCCCAATTGGAAGTTTAATTGCTTTGTCCTCCACAACTCTGAAGACTATGGACCTTGCATCCACTCTGCAGCACCAGTCCTGATAAAGACCAACTCTTTGGGCTCTTTAGAATGGCATAGGAATATTACGTTTATTGCGCCTCGCTTTTCTGGAAGACAGATATAATCCCTGAGAAGCTGAGAAAATTACTGCTTTTATTTATTTCTAGCAGGGCCTCACTGAGTCTGGGTCAAAATGATGCAGTAATCATTAACTCTGAGGAGACCAAAAGGAAAGGAAATTTATCACTTGCACGTTGCATTGACCTTGTAAGCAATTATATACTCCTAAGAATCTTAATTTCATTTTATGGAATAAACCTCATAGAAATAATTTTTATGGGAAACTTCTTTTACAGAATAAAACATGTCTGTTTCCTTCTTTTTTAATATTACATAGCAGATGAGATTGTTTTGGATTACGAAAGCGCGGCTCACGCTATTCTGACTGCCTGGAGAAGGCCCTGAGGCAGAGCATCAGCTCTAATGGCATTGCCCTGCCAGTAGAGCAATGACAGCAGTGGATGGAGACACGTTTAGAAACAACCAAAGGCAACAGGAACTGCTATATAAGCATCTTATAGATCCCCACATCAAGCACAAATTCATGTTTAAATTGCAATAACTATTTTTATTTTTTATTAAAAATATTTATTTTTTATTAAAAAAGGGCTCAGACTGCACGTGACTTTTCTTCTTTTTGGATGGCAGGAAAGAGAAATGACTCCTTTATTTTTCAGTTCACAGCACTGAACTCCAGATTGCCTATTTTTTCTTTGTTGGTTGCCTGCATTGATTCTCTACTGCTCCATTAAAGGAATGTTTCTACAGTTTCCCAGTGATTGCGTTACCTAGTTTATCTTGAAGGAAACAAAGCCCGTCCTTTCTTTTCACTATAAAGGCAGGCTCAGAGGCTACATACGAGTCTCACCATGGGTTTCATCTGGTAAGTCCCAGCATGCAGCCCAGCACATGAGCACATTCTGAGCCGAGTTTGGAGCCCATTAGAAGTTCTGAGCCCAGTGTAAATTCTGACCCCACATCTCAGGCTGCTGAGGCATCTGAGAGCCACCTGAGGGCTTCTGCTGGCAGCAGTGTCCCATCGTGAAGATTTCTTCTGACTACTTAACACTGCATTTTTGAATTCTGCAGCATGTAGGTGCCACGCTGTTTGCAGATAAGGCACTGGGGAGATTTTATAATGAGTAACAGTTAAGAGTGTGCGTGACTCAGGCCTGGGCTGGAGTGCAAGCGTGTTAGGCTGGAAATCAGATGAATCTCCCTCATCCGTGCACTCAGCCCTTCTGGGGCGGATAAACGAAGAATTGCCAGGGGGCGGGAGAGCAGAATGCGCTGTCGGATTGGGTGACGCTTCTGTCAATCTCCGCCTCCCTCCCGCCCGGCCCGCGTCGGAGAGCCAATGAGTGGCGCACCCCGTGCGCATGCGCACTCGAGGCGGCGCTGAAATTCAAATCCGCGGAGCGGTTGGGGTGGAGGTTTTTGCTTTTCTCGGGGCGGCGTAAGGGAGCGGCGGCCGGAGTAGCGGCGATGGATCCGTTCACCGAGGTGGGGAGAGCTTCAGTCCTGAGGGCCGGGGGCGAAAGTCGGGGAGGGTCCGCGGGGAGCCGGGCTGCCTTACGGCTTCTCTCAGGCTTTCCTAAAGGCTGCGAGCGGCCCTCTGTTCCGTTCCGCCTTATTGCTGTGCAGGACAGAGGGGTTATTCACACAGGAGCTGGTGGAAGAGAAGCCCTTTTCCATGTGCGTTTTTGTTCTTTAACGGGGCAGGCTTGTAATGACACAAATGGAATTGGCTGGCTTGAATGAGGGCTGAAGGCTTCTTAAGAATGCTGCGCTGTACTCTGCTTCCATGTGAGATAGGTGTAAAGCTGCAGAGCTGGTTTGTGATGGCTTTCAGAAATACCTCAGTACAAGTGAATGCTTCTGAATACACAGCACTTCACAGTGGCAGAGGTTGGAAGGGACCTCTGGAGATCATGGAGTCCAACCCCCCCTGCTGAAGCAGGTTCCTACAGAGGTCACACAGGCAGGCGTCCAGATGGGTCTTGAATATCTCTGAAGAAGGAGACTCCACGGCCTCTCTGGGCAGCCTGTTCCTGTGTCCTGTCACCCACACTATAAAGAAGTTCTGTGTATTTGTGTAAAACTTCATCTGTTCCAGTTCTTGGCCATTGCTCCTTGTCCTATTGCTGTGTTTCACTGGAAAGTGTCTGGCTTCATCTAATTGCCTCTTGCACTTCAGTTATTTATAAACACTGCTCAGATCCCCTCTCAGTCTTCTCTCAGCTGAACAGACTCAGGTCTCTCTTCCTTTTCTCATAAGCAAGGTGGCTCCATGCCCTTTATTATCTTTCTTGCTCTCTGCTGGACTCTTTCAAGGAGATTTGTATTTTGAGTTGGGCAGCCCAGAACTGGACACAGATGTGGCCTCTTCAGGACAGGACAGAGGATCGCCTCCTTTGACCTGCTGGCTGTGCTCTTTTTAATGCATGCCCTGTTTAACCAAAGCCTGAATTAATTAATTAAAAACAAACAAACAAAAAAAAACACCCACAGATCTAATCATAAAAAGAAATAAAAAGTCTTTATCAAGTACATTGCTTTATCAAGGAGGAAAGAATAATCTGTATTTCTAATAGGCATCCTGTAAATAAATCGGGTGCCCTCAGCAGGGGAGGATTGCAAGGTCCAGCTTAAAGAAATCACTCGTAAGATACTGATTTGCATGTGTCAAGGCAGATTAATGCTGCTCCCATGTAAGGCTTGCTAAGTGTAAACATCTAAAATCTCCTTCCTTAATTGGTAGTGGGTGACATGATGAGACTAGTCTTAAACAAAACCGCAAGTCCAGAATACTGGATCAAGTTTAAAATGGTTTTGCATGCTGGGAAATATTCCAATCTCAACACACCCTTTGTGTAGTTAACTGACTTTGAAAAGCTGTGACCAACTCAGGGGCCACTCCTTAGTGTAAACTTCATTCAAGTATTTGCTGGTGTTGCAGAGTGCCTGAGAGGTATTGCTTTGCCAGGAATGCTTATGCTGTGGAGGACGTTCCCCTGCTGTATAAGAATCTGACCACTGCATCAGAATTTTGATTTGATAACTTTTCTCAAAAAGGACTTTTTATAAGGAGGCTTTATTATTACCTGCTTTAAAGTATTTATGTCCTAATTTTTATTTCTTTTAAGTATCAGTTTTATTAGTTTAGCTATTTTCAGGTTATATTTGTAAACAACTGTTCTGTTGTTTGCAGGGAACTGGTGAGGCATTATAAACGTTGCTTAGGTACAGCAGCGTTAATTCAAGCGTTACCTGGCCAAAGCTGTTTGCTGATCACTTGGCCTTAGAATAAAAATGCTTCGTCTCGATTAATAGATGCTGCTGCAAGATTCAGTGTGTTCAATGCTTTCAAATGAAACAGTTCAAAAATAATGTTTTTTTATTAATTTTACAAGCAAAATCTAATGGCCTGTTGGGTGTCAGCCAAATTGTTAATATGGTCCACTGAGGAGATGGAGTCTTATTTTAGAATCACAGTGAGCATGCTTGTGGCTCTTAGTTGGTAGTTGATTGTGTAATTCACTTTGTTGCATAGAAGCCTGTGTTTGGTAGTACAGAGAGTTAGGAATAGTCCAGTTTATTTATACTGTGCAGTACTTATTGTAGAGCACAGTACTGTTTCCTAGTGTGGCAGATGACCAAAAAGAAGTGACTGAGTTGCTCAGAGAAAGGTTTGCATACATGAAATTTGAAGTTGTTTCGGTGTCGCAGAAACTTGCTCCTGCAACATTCTGCTACTATAGCAGGGTAGCAGCAGCAAGTTCTTGTAGTCACTCATGAGCCTGTGAGCAGTCTTCTCTAAGGTTTCTAGGTATGGCTTCTGTATGTAACTTAACATGTGCTACTTTTAAAGCAAGACTGTCCATCAGCGTTTAAAGCAGGAAGGTGTTTTGTGATTTTATAATGTGCTCTTGCACACGAGCCATGATCCTCTAAGTACAGCTTAGTTGTTTTCAATTTCCTACATAAAATGAAACAAGCCTGTCCTGCTCTGAAATGTTGCCTGTTACTGGGATGTGTGGAGAATGTACTATTAGGAACAAACACCTATGATGAGCTTAAGATTAAGCCTCGAGTTCTGGTAGCTGGCTGACTCATGGTGCGTAACAGCAGTTTGAATTAAGGCGATTGCATGGAAAAAGCCAGTAGGAGTTGGAGCTCAACAACGGAGGCGTGCATTCCTGTGAAATGACATCCTATTTGTAACAACTGAAGCTCTGTCTCACTGGACTAACAAAACAGAAAGGAATGTGACTGCATTTGAATAGAGCTGTAGGAATACTGTCTTAGTGCACTTGAATTTGCAAAAGAACAGTTATACAGATGAACTTAAAATGGGTATAGGGACTTATGAGTGTATTGTCTGAATGCGTTATAGCTCTACCTTTTGGGGATTGGAATAGGGAATCTGGCCTGTGGAAACAACTGGGCTGCAACTTACAGAGAAGGCATTCCAGGCACTTCATGTGTCCCTTTTAAAAATATTTTTCCCCCTAACTTCTCTTCCATGGAAGTTAGAGAAGCAGCATTTATACTTCGACAGAGAATCGTTGGGACTGACATTCCATTTGTCCTGTGTTGCCCTACAATGAAACATTGTTTGAGGCTTCAGCCTTAGACAGTTAAAAATGTGCAATGTGTATTTAATTGCTATGTGACAGGCCAGATAATGGCTGGTACAGTTCTCACCATAATTTATGTGGTACCGAACAAGTGCAGTTTATGTGCTTCCCTTTAGAGGTCATTAGTTCAATAGCACAATTTTTTGTTGTTGTTTCAAAGCACCTTAAAATATTGATCAAAGTAAGAATGAAGTGTTCTTCACAGGTGGCTAAACTGTGGTCTTGAGTTACGAATGCAGCATTAAAAAGATGTTACTTCAAACATGGATGCTATAACGAATCTCCCTCCAGTAGTGTAAAACATTCACTGAAACAGCTATTTCATGTGCAATGTGATTATACTACTCAAATTCCCAAAAGTTAGGGAATATCAGAAGGTTACTTGACATCTCTTCACACGTTTTGTTTTCCTGTACAAGATGATGATAAATCATCTCTGTTCGGACAATTAAGACATCAGTTCCCCACAACTTAATCTTGCAGAACCAAAGTTCACTTTTGGTTTTGATGCTGCAGTAGCTACTTTTGTACTTTAACAACATGGATTTAATTTGTAGAGTTGTTTTTCTTATGGACACTGTGGGATCACTAACTTTTTTTTTTTTTTTTTAATAAATAAAAGGTCAGTGACAACTGGGTGTCTTGAACATGTTCTTCAGCAACAGGTCAGGAGCCCACTAGTCAGACTTGCTAACTTAAGATTATCATGTGGTGATTCAGGGAAGAAATATTATTACTTTCAAGTGTTTCTGAATACTTCAGGCTCTAGATATATTTTTTCCCTCTATTTTTGTCACTGCTTATGTCTCTCTAGTGCGATTTCTTTAAGAAGCCAACGACTGGAACTTTGTAATCTGTTGGGTAGCTTCTTCTGCTTTTTGATATAAAAGTAGATGTCTCAAACTTCACTGTTTCAGCAATTTCCTTGACGATCTGTGTCTACATGATAAGACTGGAATTGACGTCCCTTTGAAAGAAATGCTGGAACCTGTTATCTGTCCAGTAGGCAAAACGATCTTCAGATACCCTGCAAACATGAACTAACCAGCCAGATAGCAAGAAGGTAGCTTGGAATTTGCTGCCTTGTGAGCTATCTTTGATCTAACTTCCTGAAAATAGGGGAGATGTGTGTATTGCAATGGTCAAATAGAAGTATGGAGTTCAGGAGTTACTGCAGTGACAGAAAGGGGGAAGACAGAAAAACCAAATAGATGGTGGTGTAGAAAACCTGTTTTTCCTGTTTCCAGGAGTAGAAGTGGGTAACCAAACAGAAAATCAAGCTTTAACTATTTCCATAGCAGTGCATTACGGTAGGTCAGTTATCAACATCTGAGAGACACATTTGTCTCAGTGTAGTCATCATTACACGTTTTTGTTATTGTCCCTTTTGGTACATGCTCGTTACAGAAAAACTTGAAATATTTTGATTTTGAACTGTTACTGTTAGCACTCTGAAGTGTATAGTGATCTGTGATTGAATTACTCAGAAACTGCTCGAACGAACCCGTGCCAGGAGGGAGAACCTGCAGAAGAAAATGGCTGAGCGGCCAGCCATGGCAGCGAGACTTGCAGCGCAGACCAAGAGGGTCAGAGAGCCTTTGTCAGAGACTGGTAACCAGGCACCTCTTCCTGATGAAGAAGGTATCCTACATACATGTTGGTTCTGTTCCATTTTTTTTTTCCTTGTTACGATGGCTTGTGAAAACCTCTCAGTGTTTATCCTAAAGTAAATAGCAATGGGTGCATTTATCCAGTCTGCTAAGACTGGGTGTGGATAAATGTTTACCTTTATCTGAGAGCAGATGCTCTTAATGATTAGTAAGCTAGTTAAAGATGATTACTTAATGCCTTGTAATTGGTGGAAATAGAAAAGGATGGGTTATTTGTACATCATAACTTTGCAATGCAGTTTTGTACTGAGGATGTTTGAGACTGTTAGAATACTAATTTGCTTGACTTCTCTGACTTGTACAGTGAAACCTAGTACTAAACCATCGCCATCAAAGAGACGCTGCTCCAATAATATAGAGACCCAAGCTTCCACTACAGAGAATACACAGCCTGTTCCTTCAAGTTCCCCAAGCCACCGTTCTCCTGTGATGAACTCGGAGTTGCATGGAACTGTGTGCAACAAGGCTTCACCGGCTCAATCTTTTGAGAAAGGAAAAACAAGCACCAAGTCAGAAACTCCTGCAACTCTTTCAGTCAAAACACGTATGCAGAAACTGGCAGAACAGCGACGCTGCTGGGATAGTGAGGGTATGTGTTCCTTACAGAAAAGCAGCAATATTATTCAGCATTTGCATTGATGATAGGGTGTGCTAGCAGACAATTTTTTTTGTGAGACAGTGCGAATATTTTTGTGCAGAAGTTTTGTAGGCAGCACTGGACATAGCCTAAAATGAATAAACTGACTGTAACAGAGTGCTATGTGTGCCTTTTAGTGTGAAGCATTGCTCACCACAACAGTGATGTCAACCTAGTAAAGTACTTGGTCAAGATTGTGTTGCCTTTAATTTCACTTGATCAGACTCAGTGCCTTCGGAACATCTAACTGTTGATAAACTCACAACAGAGCAAAATTCAAATGTATCTCAATGTATTTAATTAAGAAGACTGTGTTCTCTTTTCCAGATCCCTCTGAATGTGCTCGTCTGTCTCCCCTCCAGTCAAAGGACCTGTCTGTTTCTCCACCTAAGCGGGCAACTAATGATCTGGCAAGCAGTACCCCTATTGGGAGAAGGGGCCGTTTGGCTAACCTTGCAGCTACAATTGGCTCCTGGGAAGATGACCTAAGTCATCCATCTGCAAAGCAAAACAATGCACAAGAACAGCCTGGCACTACTTGTTTATCCAAATTGTCCACTACAAGTGGAGCATCTGCTGGAATCAATAGTAGCAGTGTAAAGCAGGAAGCTGCATCCTGTTCTCAAAGGCTTGTTGAGGCTTCTATTAATAAACCAGCAAACTCAAAGATAGCGGTGAGTGTCTGATTAGTTGCTGATTAAGGATTGATTTGAGTTCTGGGGGGGAGAAGCGTTAATTCATACCGGTTTAAAAACCTGAATGTTGGTAACAAATTTAAAGATTTGGTGTGAGTAATCTTAGTTCACTTACTATTTTTTGTTTGATAAAAACGTGTTCTTTTTTTAAGCAACAGACCTGAAACAGTTCAGAATTCCTTGAGACTTGAAGAGGAATGTATATATAAGTCTTGTAGATGCTGAAGTCAAAGTAATTGATTGCTGTCTTTTGATTATTGGAAAGACATTCCTTAAAGTGACAACCCTTTTGGATTTTACTCTGATTTCTCAGCAAACTGAAACTCTGAATAACAATGGAATCAAAATGCTGAAATTATTAGTAACAAATGCTTACTGTTCCATTTATGCCACTTGCTAAATGGCAATAATCTGTGTGCCCTATCTGGTTTAGGGATATGTGGGAAACTACCTGATGTATCTGACAAAAACACATTGATCCCAATACTGAAGGAGTTTGAAACATTTAATCGAGATGCTGTAAATAGCTCACAGCAATGGTTGTCAGTCCTTTCTGTTCTGGTGGAATTCATTTTGTAGTATGTTCTGCATAAAGTTTTAATTCTTTTTTTTTTTTTTTTTCCTCTGGAGAGAATGACTAACATTGTGCAGTCTCAGCTTAACATTCTACCTTTTTCTCTTAAGGATCCAAATAATTCTATAACACAGTCCTCAAGCAGTACTGTTCCTGCTTGTGAGGAATCTGAAGTGTCACGACAGCTAATAAAGAATCCCTGCAGCCCTCAGAAGACTGAGAAACGCACACAGACGGTACAATCAACTTTGTCTCAGTCGGTTCAGTCCAAAGAAGAGACAGTCAAAGGAACACATGTGCAACCTGAACCTAAGGATAAACCCACAACACCAGGTAAGCTGTTCTTCAGCTTCAGTGAGTTCAAGGAATTGTCACTGAAATCACCTATGTTGAAAACTACATGCTAGTTAAGTTACAATAATGTTGTGTAATGCTTATTTCTTGCTCTAACTTCATTGAAGAAGTCTGTGATAATTGTAAATTGTATGGCTTCCATATTTTGCAAGAGTATTTCCTGAATGTATTTTTAGTAACTCCTGAGAGCAAAACCAATCTAATAGTTCTGTCTGAAAAGTATGCTGTTAACATCAGTTGATGACAGGCTATTGAAAGTGTATTTCAAATTGTTGGCTAAGGTATAAATCCAATAGATGTTAAAAAAAAAAAAAAGCCTGAATATGTTAGAAACCAAAAAGAAGTGCTTCCACTCTTGAAGGCCATGTAGATGCATAGTGTCTTTCCTTTCAACGGTGAAGTAAGGTGGATTCCTAACAGCGTATCTCCCTTGGGTGCTAGAATGCTTGTTTAGATGAAAGATGCAAGTGAGAAATGTTTAAAAAACAAACCAATTGGAATAATGAGCAGGGTCACGTGTGGTCTTTGTAAAGAGGAGGGCATCTGTTTGCTCTGATTTACTGCTTTAATATCTTCTGTGTTCCATTACAGCAGTGATTTGCACTTCAGGTTAAGTTTGTATAGAGTGTAACAGTAAGTTGTAAAGGAGCATCTTAATTGCTTCATTGAGAACTTCCAGTGAGATCTAAAGCTGCAGTGTAACTTCTCTGTTTGAGAGCTTCTTTTAAAGCAAAAGAATTGTTCTTGTAGGGGGATCAGGAATTAAGCCCTTCCTGGAACGTTTTGGAGAGCGCTGTCAAGAGAACAGTGCACGCAGTCCTTCCACGAATACCGCGGGGTTCAGAACGCCCATCGTCACCCCAAACACAAGGACAATCCAGGAAAAGCTTCTCAAACAAAATGAAAATTCCTCTACTGCCACTTTAGCGCTTCAGCTTAAGCAGGTATGACTAGCTAAATTCGTGGCTTGCTTATAAGCTCGGGAAAGATTCTTACTGTTCTTTCCCTACCTGACAAGTTTGCAATGTCTTGATGTCTTAAAACTCTGAACTCTTCTCCTATTCCCCTTTATTTGCATAGGAACGTGAACGAGAACTTGCATGCATTCGTGGCCGATTTGATAAGGGCAATCTGTGGAGTGCAGAGAGAAGTGAAAGTTCTAAGAGAAAACTTCCAGAAGCTAAAATGGTAATGTGTTAGCTGCATGCATTGGAAGATGTGTGAATTGCTTTAACGTGTTCTGAACATAGGTATTTTTGCACAAATGTAGGTAAAAGATGGGAATCTAAGGATTGTAAATATCTAGGCTACACAAGACTGCTTCTCATGTAGCTCATATGATTATTAATGAAGTATTGCATTTTTTTCTATAGAATCAGTTACAAATGATACTGACTTGAGCTGATTGATTTAGTTTTTGATGATGGTTATTGTGTTACTTCCTATAGTATTATCTAACAAATAAGCATACTTATTTCTTATATATGAATATTCTTTCTCCTTCCCAATCCCCCACCAACTTCTAAAAACTCTTACAACCATTTCAACTTGGAATTTCAGCTGACATTCTTGCATAAGTAGAATCTTCCTTCATATTGGATAGGTAGCTAACCTTTTTTTAGTCACTTTAAATGTTACCACCTGAATGTCCTGTTTTTGGTTTTAACAGGATGGCCCATCTCAGGGTAGTCCAAAACGTTCTCCTCGTTCAGATACTACTTCTGGATCAGCAGAAGACACACCAGCAGGAGACAGGCCAGTAGAATCTCCCAGTGTAGAATCTTCAGGTAAGAATTTGTTTTTTGCTTGTGGCTAATGCAGGACTGTAGCATTCATAAATGGTCAAAGAGGTTAGTAGTACCCTTGTTTAGAACTGGACCTATGTACACTCTTATGTGGTTGCTGATTTGTCTACATTTTCTCATATAATACTTTACTACTTGATTGGCAAGACAGATTGCCATTGTTTCTCAGTAGGTTTACCAATGTTTTGTATTTTGTATGCTGATTTGAGAGTGCGTGTGTGAAAACAATCAGCTACAGATTTCATTTATACTGTACATGAGTTTACCAAACTTACACCAACAGTTCCTTCTTCAGTATCCCCTTGTATTAATTCTTACAGTAGGGGATGTGACAGGATTTGTTATACCTGTGACATCCCATCTAATATTTAGGGGTTGGGAGAGCCTTCAATTCTATGAAAGCAGAATGAACTTTGTTAAATGCTCCTTTTACACTTCACGGGCAAACAGACTCTCAAATGGGCTTCTATAAATGCGGGATACTCTTCTCTTGGCTTGGATGTTGTGTTTTCTGTTTAATTTTACTTTTTGCTCAAGTGGCTGCATTTTGCAGTGTTCTTGTAACTTGTCAGCTGTATTAACAATCTACTGAAACGCAATGCTAAGAAAAAAGTAAATAAAATTGGAGGTATAGCATATATTCATTGACTTTTTTTTTTTTAATAAAATTCTTAGGTGCTCCTAAATGTGAAGAGACTGATAAATCCAGTTCTCTGATGGTCACTCAGCCAAAGAGTCCTGTAGAAGCGATGCCTGTGTCAAAACTTGAACAACTTGCTGAGAAACCAGATGGTTTGTATTGATTAGATGCATTTTATTTGCTTAGCTATCTGTTCTCACTTGTCCAGCAGTGTTAATATCCGTCAAGACTGAATAATGCATTCACTATGTATCCACTGACACTCATGTGTTTGCTTTGTAATTGGGTTTATATCAAACAAGAATAAGTAAAAGCTTCCTGATTTAATTCTACTAGTTACTTAATCCTTCTCTGAATGTTAAGTCTTCAAGAAATATTAAAACTGATACTAAACTTGATTGGGAAAGGAGAGACATGGCTGCTCTGTGGGAGACTGCAGTTTCAGACTTTAATAAGCTGAAATGTTGTAACTTGTCTGACATGTCTCTTTGTATTGCCTTCCTGTATCACTTATGCAGAACGTGGGGTAAAAGTATATTAAATATATTATATTATATTATTATTTTTATTATATTATTATAAATTATATTATATTAAATATATTATATTAATATTAAATGGAAGTATACTTCAGGTTTCTCACATGCCTGACTATAATAAGCACTTCTTAATTAACATTACTTGAAAAACAAAAGTGGATGGCTTGTCTGTCAACTCTTTAGTCCCGTTATATAAACAAACATTTAATTTAGATGCTACTAATATTTATAAAACATCACCTTTCAGATGAAGTATGTGAAGGTGAAATGAAGGCTGGTGATGAAATGAATAGCTCGAAAGTGATAAATGAAATTTTTGGAATTCTTCAAGAGGATGGTCCAGACATAGAAAAGCTGAAGAAGGAAATGAGCATGAGCCTGGAGGGTGAAAGTGATGATGATGAGCAGGAAGAGTCACTCAATATTTCATCAATGTCTCTGTTAACCCCTCTAGTGGAATCTGTTGGTCCAGAGGTGAGAGCTCTTGGGAGATGGGGAAGGACGACTTCAGTGTAGAAAGTTGTTCAATTTGGTTGTGAACAGTGGTATATCTTAGTATTTTTTATATATATATATATATATCCAGGTATTTATATATATATATATATCCAGGTATTGTGATACCTGGTCAAATCCTGAAGTTACGAAAAACATTTTGCTAATGAAAACTTAATGAGGTAAAGTTTCTGAAGTTTTTACTTTTTGACTCTAGAAGTAACACTGCATGTCAGATGCTACATTAAACAAGTTCCTGTAAAATCCAATTTTAATATATAAATCTGTTACTTGCACTGGGCTTGTAGTTGTGTATGTGTGTTTATTGAAGCAGTTACCTGAGAAAATCTGAAGTAATTATTTAACAGTGCTGGTTTGAAAGCTAAGGGTGAAATATTCTGTAGTTCAGTGATCTGTTGGTGTTTTTAAAAATAAACAAATAGCTTGTTCTGTGTTCTAGAAAATATTTGTAAACGGTCTGCTAAATAATATTCAGCTCCCTCTGAATTTACTGCTTATATGTAATCTCAAAACAAGCAAATATAAGAGAAAATGTATCTCAAACATCTGTCTGTGTTAATCATGATCCAACATCGTCTTCTTGCCAGGTCTTTGTTTCTCCTAGTAAGTCAGTTGGTGAGGATAGCAGTGTCAGTGATGTAAGTCAAAAGTCTGAGAAGTTCCAGAGGACTAAAGTCCCCAGGGCAGAATCTGGAGACAGCATGAGCTCTCTGTCAGAAGATCGCAGCCTCCCGTATAGGTAATAAACTCAAAGATTGTCTTAAGTGCACAAATCAAGAATGTGACATGGCTCTTCTTTTTTCTTAAACTACAAAAGTAGGTTTTTCTTTTTGGAACTGTCAGCCTTTACCAAAGGCTGCCTCTATGCAGTCCTCATATTGCCTGAACTTAAGATGTATCAAAGAGTGCTTTTATTTCACCGTCAAGATGGAAAGCATTAATGAATGATATATGTACATGTAAATAAGTGTGTGAATAAGTAAAGCTTGATATGCATGGAAAACACTTTTTAACCCAGTTTTCTGTTTTAAGTGTTGATGCATATAGATCTCAAAGATTCAAAGAAACAGATCGTCCTTCAATAAAGCAAGTCATTGTTCGCAAAGAAGATGTTGCTTCCAAACTGGAAATGAAAAAGAATGGTCCATGTGATCAAGTCAATATCAAAAAGAAAATGCAGGTATCTAATATGCTTTTAAAAATAGTTTTTCTATTCCTATGCCTAAGTTCACCCTGCAGATGACCACATGTTAATACACTACATAAACTGATTTTGCAATTCTAACATAAACATTTAACAGTATGTAGTAGCTCAAGTCACATTGTACCAACACATCTTCTGATTTGGGTCATGCTATAACTGTCTGGTGGACACAAGATGTTGTTTTGAATAAGACATGGGGAGTTATATTTCATTTCTCCTACTGAATTTGACAGGATTTGTAACCACACTCTCGGTAAACAGCACTTTAATCTTTGATGCTGCCTCATCATGTGTACTGCTGAATTTCTGGTTAGCTGCTGCTTCCAGTGGTAAAGGGAAGGCTAGACTGGATGTGGAGCATACAGACACTGTAGTCATTCATTCCATGTTACATTTAAATTCCCTTTGAGGTAGAAAAAGTTGTGCTGGAGTATTCTCTTGCAGAAGTAAGATTGAACTGCAAGATGTTCTGTAGCTTACTATTTGTCTAATTTACTGTAGGAGCTGAACAATGAGATCAACATGCAGCAGACAGTGATTTACCAAGCCAGCCAAGCTCTGAACTGCTGTTTTGATGAAGAACATGGAAAAGGGTCACAAGAGGAAGCAGAAGCAGAGAGACTACTTCTCCTTGCAAGTAGGTTTTTAGATTTAAGTCCGATTCTTTACAGCTTGAACACTTTATGAAGATTTGTGATATGCTCCTGCAATTTACAGTATTACTTTGTACTTGCTTATTTACAGTTCTTCCTTTTGGAAAACAGGAGAAGATAACATCTGTTCAGTTTTGCCTTCTCCAGTAGGCAGGGGAACTTTTTGGCACTTTTCTTGTCCCAGATATTTTTACTATTCTTAAAGTTGATTAATGCTTACATTGCGTTTTACATACTTATGGCAAAAAAAGCAAAACTAAAACAAACCAAAACCAACCAAACCCAAAATTAAAATCGCAGCATCTCGACGCTCATGTTTAGTAGTATTTTTACCTAATTACAACTTTCATTCATTAATTTCTCTACGCAGCTGAGAAGAGAACTGCTTTATTGGAAGAATTAAATAAACTGAAGATTGAGGGACCTCTTAGAAGAAATAAAGCTGCGTCAGCGTCTTCTGACTTCACTCCATCCAGGGGATCTGTTTCTATTTCAGAAATGCGTCTACCTCTAAAAGCAGACTTTGTGTGTGGTACAGTTCAAAAACCAGGTAAAAGTAGCAACTAGAAGTTATGCCCCTTCCCTTGCTGTTTTGCTGTTCTCCCTCCCTCACTACATCTGTTGTTTAGTTTTCTCCTCGTTGGCTTTTGCTGTTTCCTTGGTCTTTTTTAGCAGCATCCTTGTTCTTACCTGTGATGTTCAGGAAACTTGTGTGACTTTCCCAGGCCAATCTTAGAATAAATGTTTCCATGGTTCTCTGTAACTTTGTTGGGAAGGAAGTAAAATTTTGTCTCAGGTCTACCTCTTCCTCCCTAGACTTTTTGTATGGATGCAAGTCTAGTACTAAATAAATTCTGACCTTTGTGGCGTTCTAAAATGGTAATAGCATCACTTCTGCATCACTACTTTTTTTTTTTTTATGTTCTATCAACACTTCAATCATAAAAACTGTCTGGATGTGGTGCTCAGGTTTGTTAGAGTTCAGGCAGTATGGTTAGGTTGTGGTTGGACTTGATGATGTTGAAGGTCTTTTCCAACCTGAGCTATTCTGTAGTTCTGTATATAAACACCAGGCATCTATTAAGCTGTTATATTTAAATCATTAAGGCATTATTGTTGTTTCTTTTGCTCTAGAACAGTATCTGGCAATATCTCTCTGTAGGTCTAGAGACAGCCAGGAACATAAGTTCCTTTCTCAAATGATTGTTTACGAGAATCTACAAGCCCACAGTAACCAGTGCTATTTTTAAATTGTCACAAAATTTCATTGTAGCTGGATAATTCTGACAGGTTCTTCCTTTGTACCTCACTAAAACATAAGAGCAAAAGTTACTGAACAGTTCTTGTTTAAAATCTGTTCCAAAACTACTATTAATGAATGCATATGTAGCCTTTCTTGTTTTCTTTCTTAACTGTATTGCAAAATGTACATTAAGTTTTAATATATTCAAATGTATATTAGGAAGGACATAAAATGTTTGCATTGCCAAGAACATAAATGGAAACACCTGACATAATTTAATCTCTTGACGTGTTGTGATTGTCCATGTAAACAGATTTCTCATTTTATAAGCTTGTTTCCTACAGAATTACTTAGTTTTTGCCAGTAATTCCTGTTAGGGTAGTATGGTTAATGTTGTGGTTGGCCTTGATCTGTAAGGTTTTTTCCAACCTGAGCAAGTCTATGGTTCTAAATACTCCTTGCAATAGAGAATATGTTCTGGTAGTGCAGCATTTGCACTAGAACAAACTCTATAAACCACTTTTATTTCTGAAGAAAGCATCAAATATAAAGGCTACAAATCAATGGACTCTAGGCCAGTTATTCTGAAGGCTGGGTAGTATCAGGTCTGACCTGAGAAGTTCCAGACACTAACGCACTTGTGATTTCTGTGGAGATGATTCTACCAATGGATACCACTGAAAAACAATTTGTGTTCAGATTAAGTTTGTAAGCACATCTTGACTAACACAAGTGTTTAAATTGGGTGAAACAGGCACACTTACTAGTAATGCAATACTGGAGGACTTTGAGATACTTGAACAACTCTTGAATAAAGAAATTGCACATCTGAAATGTATTTACAGAAGCAGCAAACTACTACTATGTGATAATTCTCAGATCTGGAGCAGAAAACATGGTTGCAACTCCCTTAGCAAGTACTGCCAGTTCCCTGAATGGAGATGCACTTACTTTTACTACAACATTTACCATGTAAGTATAAGTACAAAATACTATTTTGGAACTATCTCTGATGGTGAAGCATTTATAAAAATATCACTGAAAATCTTTGTATTTGCCTTATTCTGCAAACAAATTGAGTGAGATCATCTTATTATAAGAAATAGCCACAATGTACTTCTTAAGAGAGTAATCTAGATCTGTACCATAAGCTAATTTGTTGCTTTTCCTATGGCTCTCTCCTGGATTAACTGTAGTGACAGATGAATTACTTTTCCTGAGAGTTCTTTGCAGCAACTAACACTTCATGCAGCTATTTGGTTTTGGTGTCTTGATGGGGAGGGCGGAAAACGAGAAAGGATTGTTCAAACTGAAATTACTGTTAGCTAAAAAGATGTGAGTTCAAATGGATGTTTGATTTGTGAAGTCTTTGAAAATGTGTTGGACTTGAAAAACTGAGTTAATGTAGTTTTCACTTCAGGCTAATTACTGCCAAAGCAGTCTATTCTAGAAATGTTTGAGCAGCAGACTGAAGAGTATGTTCTGAGAAATGGTAGATGTATTCTATCTACCCCCTGCCTTCTCTCTACTTTCTTTCATGGAGTTGTAGAAAGGAACTTTAAGTAGTAACATGCTGAGATCTTTAGAATAGCAACACGGCTTGCTTGCACTGGGGAGTGCTGTTGTAGAAATGAAAGGAGTTCAGACCTTCAGGGACAACCTAATGTTTACAAATAAGAAATACTAGCTGTTAGTTAGCACCATGACTAAGATTCTTTTGAGTAGAGTCTGGGTATTCTTAGCTATTCCTTGGTGAATTTGAGGGATCAGGAGGAGGAGGAGGGAAGTAGTAATGAGTAACAACAGCAAAAAAAAAACAAAAAAGACCCATCTTTTCCAGCAGTCTGTGGCTTAACATGTTTTTTCCATTCATCCCTTTTAGGCATGATGTATCAAATGACTTTGAAATAAATATAGAAGTCTACAGTTTGGTATGTATTGGTCTGTGTCAAGAGGATATGCAAGGGAAAATGATGTGTTGTACTTTCTTAATACCTTTTTGCCTCGTAGGTACAGAGAAAAGAAGCTCCAGGCACTGATAAAAAGAAAAAAGCAAATAAATCTAAGGTAAATGGAACACAAAATTCATGTGTTGTGCATCAAGAGGGTACACTAAGACAACTGTAGTTTTCAGGAAGAACTGACTAATAGTTTTAAACAATCTGCTTCTTGCTTTTACTCCTCTTCTTCTTTGTAAGAAGATCTGCAGTAACAGCTGGGTTATGCAGTCCTACAGGTATCAGTGGTTTGGGCTTGCAGCACTTAGGGTTTAAAATATACTGGGGGACAAAGTGAAGAAAGATTCTTAATTGTTCTGCAAAATGCAGAGAGATATATATTTAATATATGGTTTAATATATGGTTGCCTCTGGTAGTGATTTAGTGCTCTTATTCTCCAATTCACACAAAATCCACAAGTCAGTATGCCCTACCCTGCAGTTCTGTTGGTCCTAACGCTCTGTTGATCATCTATAATGCTTTTCTTCCTCATATTAAGTAAAAGCAGTAGTTACTTTATTTTTAAAGCAAATGTTATTTTAACAATCTCTTGGAAGTAAGCATTTAAGCATGAATAACATACATGTTTCAGGTGTTTGTGTTTATTAAGGCTTTGTTAGCCCTCAACATGCCAGTGGCTTGTGGTGTTTTTCATTTGCCATTCCAGCAGTTGGGTGTGCATTGATTGCCTGTTTTAGGTCCTATTTCCTTCTTTTAGAGATATCTGTCTGCAAAAAAAAATGTGAAAAACTTGAGTGTCTTTCAAAGGTAGTGGGATACATTCTATAATCCCATACCAGAGAAAATGGAGACTTTTTTTTTTTTTTAAGGAAGTCTATATTTTCATTTTGCATAGTGAAAACATACTCTTGTGGTATCCCCAAATAAGACTACTTAAGCAGTCCAGGATATTGCTTTCTTGTGCAGTATTTTGCAGGAACCTTCACTTAATACTAAATGCTTTTGTGGCACTCTTGCTGACACAGGGCTAATGGCATCTTGTACCTGCTTTCATCTTTCAGGTTCAAGAACAGACACATATATAATTCTAATTTTAGTGAACTACCTCTAAAAAAACCTTTTAAAAAACTTTGATATTTCACATGAAAATAGAGGTAATATACAACAAACTGGACATTGAATGGCTCTATACTTGTGCTATTATCATCTATTGTTAACAAGTTGCATTTACTTATTACAGGAAGGAAAAATGTCTATTAAGATTGCTTTTTCAAGTGCATGCTATGTGTTCCAAGCTGTTGCACTGAGTCTGTGTTCAATAAACAAGGACTTATAACAAGAGCTAGCATCTATTTAAAATTAATTTAAATGCTAAGTCTTAAGATATAATTTTCATGGCAATGTAATGAACAGTTACAGTAGCTTGAAATCCAAGTGCATTCATTTTCTCCTGTTCTTTTGCAGGTTATCACTCCAAAAAGATTATTAACATCTATTACCTCTGTAAGTATGAATGTAATACTGTAACAAGCTCTGTGTACAGCTTCCAGAGGCTGTATTTCCACATACGAGCCTGTATCTGCATCAGGCTTTTATGTCCCTTACTTGAAACTGTAATGGTGCAGATTTCTACCAAACTCTTCAGCATCAGCTCAAGAAAGCTGAAAAACTGGTGACAGCTCTAAATAAATAATGCTGAAAATATAGTTAGTACATGCTTTTTTGGATTCATTTTCTAGCTGTTTTTAAGAATGTGAAAACTTCAAAACTAGTTTCTCTGTAACCTAGCTCAGCCTTCTGTAGAAATTCTCCAACTATTTTCTCATTAAGCTTTTGTTTTTCTCTTTCTAGAAAAGCACCCTTCTTACTCCAGGTAAGCAAAATCTAAACATCTTATACCAAGATAAATAAGCAGCATTACTATCAAAAGCAGTGTATCAATAAATAATACTTGCAATATAGAAATTGCATGTAATAAAGAGAAGATGTCAATGTCAGTTACCATTGGCATATCTGAGTTATGATTAGTGGAAGCTCTCTTTGCAGCATTAAAGTTAATATCCTGTATCTAATGCCTGTGGTTAAAATTCCTCCTCAACTCAAACAAGTTGAGACTTAAATTGTTTTGATATCAGACTAATATAGAATAAACTTGGAAATTCTTAAATATATGTTCAGATCCTGGAATTTTGCTTCTCTGTGTTTTAACAATATATATGTTTCTGATGCTTGGCAAGAAGGACAGCAGCATCTCAGTTTCTCTGACATCTCTGAAATGCATTATACACTTGCAGGAGGTAGTTGAGATAACCTTAGTACAAGCTGCAGTAATAAGAAGTTGATGAGCAACCTCTGAAATGTCTACAAAACTGCTGCAGCTAGTCTCATTCCTGTGCCTGAGCTACAGGGCTTGCTTCTGTTGATACAGCGCAGAGAAATAGTTGGTCAAGTTCTGAAAACTGCAGTGTTGTCACTTCAAATCTCTTTAACTTCAAGTTCCTACTGCAGGTCATATGTGCTTTGCAGTATGCCCTAGTATGCTCTTTTTTCCCCTGAGGCCTTTTAAGATAACGTATCTCATCCTCTGCAAACGTTTCAAAGCCTTTGACCAAAAGAAAGGATCCTAGAGAGGAGGAATTGAGTGTACAAAGGTTGTCTGAATGTATGCCTGGGCTGCGCTGCGAAGAGAGCTTCTGGTGGATCGAGTAGAGCATTTGCACAGCAGTACAGATAGAGCCTGCTTACACCTTAGAGTTACTTGGTTGTGTGTAGTGTTACAGCTTGGCTTGACCTTCTCTCCACAGCCATGGCCAGTCCAGGGGGCCCTAATGCTGTGCGCACTACTAACTTCATCCTTGTTGGATCCCACAAGCTGTCGTTGTCTTCTGTAGGACATGCCAAATTTGCACTGGAGAAGGTAATGGAGATTACTGTCTTTGTAAGGTAATCACATACCGCTGGAAAAAAGAATGAGTTTACTGTTCCCAGGTAAAGTTGAAGTTGTAGAAAATCTAGGCCGAAAATTATATACACGTGTATGTATGAACACAGGTGGTTTTACTGATATTAGCTTCAAATGACTGAAACATCAATTTAAGGTGCATCAGAAAGAAAGGCATGCTGTCATGATAGGTGTTTTTTCTGTAAGATCAGTGCATAGTGTGGTTATGCAAAGCTAATGTCCTATTTGGTTACTGATTGCTGTCCCTGACAAAACTGATGTATACAGTTGACATCTTTGTGTACACAGACTTCATGCTGTTTGTTGCTTTTATGTCTTATGCTAATCAACAGCTTATTACTGAATAGATAAAAAAGGTACTGTGTTGTAATGATGATGAAGTATTTAAAGTTCTCTGCATTTAAATGACTTTAAAACCTCAGTATGAATTCAGATAAGAGTATGAATATCCTTTCATGGCCCAACTAAGCTTTTAGAAACAAGCAATATTTTTTGCAAGAGCAATTACCAAGTTTTATATTCTTAGTCCTTTGTCCAAATAACTTTATTGGCTCTTGCCATTACAAGTTCGAAAAACTACATTCTTGCATTCATTGGTAAACTTGTAACATCTTAAACATTAAAATAGTTTTAGGTTAATGCCAGCAGCTGTCCTAAAACTATCTTAAGATAATTCACAAGCTACTACAGTTTATGCTGGCACTGAATTGCAATTTTATCTGTCCAAACAGCAGTATCAAAATAAATTCTCTTAGAATTCTAACTACCATATTGTGATGATAGTAGTATTGCAACAAGAGCTTCTGACAAGAGATGAGATTGTAAGAGTAGTGGTTTGTGCACAAGCTTAAAAACAATCTCAGATTGATTTTTCAGAAGGTTTACCTTCTATGTATAGATTCAGATTCCTTTTTTGAAACTGTCTGAGAACTTACAGTTGAATGGCAGTGCTTCTACATAGAAGTACTGACTCTGAGCCTTCAGCATAAATATTCTTCTTAGCAAGAGCTATGCTTAAATCTTACTTTGCACGTAGTTTAGTCATCAGAAATCCTTTGTTCTGAGAACAAGGGGAAACAGCTTTTAATTTGTTTGACAGTCTGGATTTGAACCTTTTTACATTTATCTTTAGGGTGGAACACTGGGCTGGATGAGTACAAGCACAGTGTTCACCTAGATTTCTAGGGAAAACACAGCTTAGTTAAATGCTTCCAGGTGCATAACTTGAACAGCTGTGAACTAGAATCCCCCTTTTTGTTGGAAAGCTTGTGTGAAATTATGATCTCTGCAGGCTTCCATTTTTACCTTGGCCTTTGACTGTATTAAACATCTGCTTATAAACTTCAGATATTCCTAATATGAAATCAACCACTAACTCAGCGGGTTTCGGTTTTCATTCCTGTCATTTTATATGCATTTCTAAAACTAGAAAGAACAAAAATCAATTCCTTTATAGCTGTTCCCCACACCCTCTTTAATTTCTTAAGGTTTCTTTTTCTTTTTTTTTTTTTTTTAAACTCTCATAATGCTGAGCATATTCCTTTTTTCCATAGATGAATTTTGAAGGGGAGGAAAGAGAACTGTTGAGCTATATGTTCCGGGACAAGGTTGCTATGATTGCTTAGTTTATCACTAAATAGGAGTCTGGCTTCCTAGTGCATGTTGCTTATATGTCTGCCCTCTGATCTTCTGCATGGTTTGAAAATTCTTTTTAGGAAAAAAAAAAAAAGCTTATGAGAGCTTATAAGTAAATGTAACACAATGCTAGGAGCCTTTAAAACCAGAGTTCTACTACTTGTGTTGTACAGTGCTGAGGATGCTGCCAGAATTTGTTTATTTAAAACGTTTAGGGCTTTCCTTAACTAGTGTGTCTTGTCTTTCTAGATCACTAGAGGGAGGCTTTGAATCAAATTGATGCTTCTTAAAGACTGCTAGTCAGGAAATTTAAGCCAAATTCTTGATGAACTGCATGAAATGTAAGATCAGCTACTCTGCTGATGAGGGGCCGTGGAAAAAGACACTAGCAACCTAAATATTGCTTTAACTTACTGTCATTGTGAGCAGTTCTAATTTTTGTCAAACTAAATCCTTTTAAAAGAGGATGAAAGTTGTGGAAGTGCTCAAAAAGTGAAGTTCTTACCTGTACACAAATTTGCAATTGAAATATTTTACTTGGTGCATGCATTATTAGGTTTCTGGGAATTAGAATAATGCACTGAAATACACTGAAATGTACTGAATTGCTCCTTATTTCTGAAAGTAGCATTATGTAGCTAACTCTGCTTGAATTTCAGAAAAAAAAATGTTTTTCTTTTCTCAAAATTCAGGAAGTGATAAATTTAGTGACTGGAGAGTTATCATGAAATTCTCTGCAGATAATCTTCTGTTACAGCAAGCCAGCTGCTTCTTATGGCAGATACCTGAATGACCACACCAGAATGCAAGCTAGCCTAGCCAGGGACTCCTCATTTAGCTGTTTATTCAACAGATTGCTTTTCCCTCCCTCTTCCCCTCCCTCCCCCCAGCTCCTTCTCCACTTTGCCTTGAAGGGGATACATTGCTGACTGGAATATGACATTCTCTTATCATATGAATAGGAGGATGTTCTGAGACCTTTTTAAGTTTACTACTAGTACTGTACACTCTGCATAACTGAGAAGTTTGGTTTGTTGGACAACCTTTTTGCTTTATTGTCACACAGCTCTTTACTAATATGGTTCTCAAAATCTCCAAAGTGCTTCTGTCTGACATAAAATAGTATTACAGTATTTTTTGTTGTAGCAACAATATACTATAGGTGGAGCGCGCTGCAAATTCTTTATTTTAATTAGCAACTTCTCTTTTTGCTTGTAGAAAAAGGACTGTGATTTTTTTTTTTTTGTAAATTCTTTTTTTGATAGTAGTGACAGGAGCACTCATTGCAATTGGGATGCTATGCATGGAGAGGCTGGGGGAAGAAGTCCAAAGTTAATTTTTATTGCATGCTCTTCTTCAAGCTCCTTGGAAACTGAGCTACCCTCAGCCAGCCTCTGGTACAGTAGTTAATCTCCTTTCCTCAGTGGCTGAAGGTGGGGTTTGGAATCTTGTTAAAGGTGACTTCGCACAGGTCTTCAGCAACTGAATGCCATTCAGGAAAAACTGCTTTCATTACTTTTCCCCTTCTAGGCTTTTTTGTATAAATATTTATCTGTGTAGTCACAATTACATCCATATCTACCAACAGTGCTTATGGCATCCAACTACCAATCCTTTTTGAGCTCACTTTTATGTTTTCTAAGCAGCTTAATGTCAAACTGAGGCACAAGCTCGCAGGCTGTGGACTGCTGCCATGTGTTGTTCATAACAGTGCTTGGGTTGCCTGTTGCTTCTAGATGCTCGTGTGTACATCCTGAGTAAGCTAATAAGCAAAAAGTCTCTCAAACCTTCTCAATGAACTCGAAACAATCAGTGATCATTACTGTGTTGCTTGAGGCTGACCACTTTTTTCTGGCTGGAGATCCTAAGAACAAGACAATGCTAACATGCTGGTGCAGGTGGCTTGCTTGAGTTCTAGAGCAGATGCTGGAGAGTGTCAAAATTAAATGACTAGTTGTTTTACCCTTTTGCAGGTTCCTGTTTTGTCTCCTTTGGAAGGTCACATATATCTAAAGTTAAAATGCCAAGTGGACTCTTCTGTGGAGGAAAAAGGGTTCTTGGTAAAGTATTCACTTCAAATTCCTTCCTTGGAAACACAAGTCTTACTAAATATACTCACTTCACTGCTGTAACTTCACATATGTATTTGTGATGATAATAAAACTTAGCTGACTATATTTGTTCTTCCTGAGTCAAACCCCAAAGCCTTTCTTTTGTCTTCTAAATTAAAGCTGTCTTTACTACTGTTCCCTTTTATTCACTTTTTAACTTATATACGTTTTTCTTATTAACAGTTTGCTTGTTTTCCACACTTCAATTCAACTTCCTTTGCTGTAATTTGTATGTGACCTGAGTTTCTAATTTCACTGTCAGAAGCTCTTAGGAGACGTCTTGGATTTTATTTTGCCCTGGTATGAACAGATTATCTCTGGCAAAAGATGCTTACTTCACTGTATGCACAGACTTAAGCTACTTTTTAGAGACACCTTAAGCAGTTCTCTCTCTGAAGCTGGGCTTTGGAAAATACGCTTGGGTCTAACAGATGGAGTTGTTGAGATTGTATCCAGCAGATGGCAGTGAATATGTTATGAAAATACTTCAGCAAGCCACTGAACTATCTTTATTCTAGTGTTTTCATAATTTTTTACAAGCAATTCTGTCTCCTTAATGAAGTCTGTTCAGATGCAAACATTTTGTGTGCTTGTAGTGTTTGATATCCCCTGTTTTGTTTGCTGCTTTTGAAACACTTCTGTTGCATGTAAAACCTGGAGAACAGTGCATGCATTTTTTTTTTCCTAAGTGAAAGTTTGGAAACTCCCTGCCTTATTAAAAATGTGTAATCTAAATTATAAAAAGTAGAAAACAACATATGAAAGTTAATTGGAAGAAAACGTTTTGTACCAGTTCATGAAGAATTAGGGAGAGAAGGGAGATAGTGGACTTTCCATTGTAATACTAAGGAAATGGGCCTTGAAAGAAGCATAATCCTGCGTCCTATAAAATAAACTGTCAAAAAAAAAAAAAAAAAATTAAGATTATTTTTTAGTTTCTTTGAAACCATGTGGGCCTCCTGAGTGTAACCTGTGGAATAGCCAGATATAAACTTTGAGATCCTAACTTGTAAGTCAAGATGACTTAAATACATAGCCACAGTAGCTTGTGCTATACTAGTACGTGGCTTGTGAACCATTGAGAAAGTGTCTTTTATGTGTTACCCTCCATTATCTGAAAATAAAGGGAATGTTTAACATTGTCAATATTAAAAAATCTAGTCATTTGCAATAGCAGTGATGGGTGTATTTTGGTCAAAAGGCTCCAGCCTATCTGGTAAATAAGTATATACTAGAAATCTCTCCCAGTAGGTATTTTCTCCTATGTAAGTTTACTGCAGTGAAGGGTTTTATTTGCAGAACCATTCTGCAGGAAAAAATAGTTGAGTACAGACCAAACTGACAGTGTAACGTTAACACTTGTTTTTTCTTTTTTACAAGACTATGTTTGAAGATGTCAGTGGGTTTGGAGCTTGGCACAGGCGGTGGTGTGTGCTTGCTGGAAACTGTATATCCTACTGGACGTACCCAGATGATGAGAAACGGAAGGTAGTACTGGTCATAAGGCTCAAGATTGTAAAGTTCTGTAATACTTCATGCTATTTGCTGATCTTTTTTGATAACTGGTAGTTAAGGTTTCAGGTAACTACATGCGAAGCATGAGATGCAAACTTCTAAAGCTTCCTTGGGGGATGGAGAAGGCTTGTTTTCATAAACGTGACATAAACAAGGGCAAAAGTAGAAACTGACTGTTTTATCTGTTGGGGAAGGGGAAAAGTAGTAGAAAATCTGTATTCAATTACCCTTTTAGCCTTAAAACTTCCTACTGTATTTGTCAAGTGAGTAATGCGGAGGCTATTTAATTGAAATTGACCAAGTTTGTACAGGTTAATAAGCAGGCTGTATCCAGTTGCCCTACATTTTAGACTAAACATTGACTTTAGCACTCAATATAGAGAAGAGTGAGATTGGACAATCTTTCTATACTGTGTAAGCATGGCTGTAATTATGGACTATGTTGTTTGCAGTTTCTGCTTTCTTGGATCTCTGTTTTATAGCTGAAACTGATGCTTTTAAGTAGATCTCACATAAACCTTTGTTATTGTCTGGCTAATGAGCCAAATCAGAGAGGTTCATCTGTCACTAAGGTGAACCTTGTCTCCTTAGCCTTTCCTGCAATATGCCCTGAAACATTTCTAGTTACCATAAGGGCTGCTTTCAAGAGAGTTTTTCTGACTCACTTAAGCAGTTTTCCATTAAATACTTGTTTGTTGGCACAGCACTTCTTCTCCCCAGACTGTGACAAACTTTGGTTCTTATGGATCTTCTATGCCAGCCCAGATGCCTGAATTTAGTTTCTTTCCAGCTAACAAAGGAAGACCAAATGCTGATATTTGCCAAAATATATCAGTGTTCTCTGTTTCCTTGCCAGGAGAGAGGAAAATAATCTGTTTACTATAATGTAATAATAATGTTTTTTAAAAAAGCTGAAAATTGATATGATTAAGGAAAAAAATTCTTATTCTCCTTTAGTCCACCAAAGCTGCTTTGGTTTGCCTTCCAGACTGTTCTGTTCTTGAAAATGTTCTAGATTTATCTTACAGTGACAGATATAGTAAGAGAATGATACAGGTATATAAGAGAATATACCTGACTACTGTCTACAGTAATGGTAAAATCTCTTTAGATGCTTTATGGCTGGTCTATTATGCATGGTAGACGTAGGTCAGAAATATCAGTATTGGGCCATTATTGCTTTAAATGAAGACATTTTGTTTAAAATAAGCATTGCATGTTGGGAATACCCATTCTGATGGATAAATTCTTTCTTAATTTTAGTTGAAATGGAGCTATCCTTTTTCCAGTAACCTAAATTATATCAACTATCCATGTTTAGTGAATGTTCCCATTAAAAAGCAAGCTTTTCTCCTGCTCGAGAGCTGCTTGTGATGCTGCTGTACTGTGATGTATTCTGCAGGTGTGATGAATTGGAACAGAGGTCTGTAACTAACTTTAGGTGTACAGCTGAACCTCTCTCTGTAGACAGTAACAAAGGATAACCACCTTGACAGTTGAAATGCTCTTTAAAAGTGGCTGCCATTAACTACAGAGGGAGCTAAAGCAGCTGGACTCTGCAGCTAAGTGTATTAGTTGCATGTTTAAAGATGAATCTGTATGCTTATAGACTCTGACAGGAATGATGCAAGCATCCTTCAAGTTCTTGCTTTCTGTAGGCTTTGATAGCATTTGCTCAATCAGTTTAGATTTTATTATGAAGTTCTCTAGAGTTTATGAAGTTCTCTTGAATGAGAGTTTAAAAGCAAAGCTTCTCTTGAAAAAGTGTGAATATATCTTTCTAAAGTCTAAGCCTTTGAGGGATAAATTCGTTAACTGTATTGGATATGGGAGTGTGTATTTCATTGTCTGTGCTTTTCCTCACCTATGGCTCTTTTCAATGTGCAAAGTAGAATACTTCTATTTATTGGGGGAGAGATTTCATATAAAAAAAAACAACTGTTAAAACATGATCGATCATAGCAGTGTTCTTTACTGATGAGTGAACTTGACTTTCAGCATCCTTTGGGCCGGATAAACTTGGCTAACTGCACGACTCGTCAGATTGAGCCTGTCAACAGGGAGTTCTGTGCCCGACCCAACACTTTTGAACTAATAACTGTCCGTCCTCAGAGGGAAGATGATAAAGAGACTCTTGTCAGCCAATGCAGAGACACGCTGTGTGTTACAAAGTAAGTGGATAAAATCATGAACCTCGTGTAGTTTATGGAAAGGGAGGGATGGTCTTGCCTCATGTCATGGTTTTAATATAGCTTTACAATTTTGGCACGCTGATGCAGCACTCATTTAAATGTTTAGATTTTGGGGGTCACACTTAAATTTTGTTCACTTCTAGTACTGTTTTGTCTTATTATCAGGCTTCAACCTTCTGGAAATGCTGAGTTCTCTCTGTTCTTAAAAGTAGAAATGCCAGGTGGTTTAGTGGAACTTAACAGAATTCTGGAGTACTTGATTTCATTTTTTCCTTTGCTATTCGGGATTCTGTAAATAAGCTTGACCTTTTTCTGAACCTCTATGTAGAAGAAGGGGGGGAGATATCTAATTCATTGAGTTCTTTGCTTTTTAGGAATTGGCTATCTGCTGATACTAAGGAAGAACGTAACCTTTGGATGCAAAAGCTGAATCAAGTTCTTGTTGACCTTCGTATGTGGCAACCTGATGCTTGCTACAAACCAATTGGAAAGCTTTAACCACAGGAAGGAGAACATGAAGAGAACACCTATGCAAAAGGCCGTGTGAACTAAAAAAGGAAAAAAATTAAAAAAAAAAAAATCTGTGGGAAGTCATCTGGATCACTTAAGCTTTAAATTAGAGAGATTACATACCTTTATATAGGGCTGTTATGCAGTATTTTTGTCTCCCTTTAAGGATTTTAGAACTTATTTCATAGCTTTTGAGTATAGTAGGAAACAATTAGCTGTTTCTAAATATGCTAAATATTTATATAACTTTTGGGATGTGTTTTTAGCTAAGTACATTCTCTTCTTGAAAAAAACTAAATTATTGCAGGAAATAGCACTTCAGGGCTCAGGGCCAGGGGGGAGCTAGTGAAAACACAAGCTTATTAGCTATCTCAGCTCCCCGGATGAGTAGTTCAGAGTTCTCTGAGAAGAAAGGTGTTGAAGCAGGAACTTTAATGTTGGAGGCTTTTTTCATAATGATCAGGCATGGAATTTAATAGTAACTTCATTCTAAAGCATGCAATATAGGCGTTTCTTGCTTGCACAATATCCTTGTGGTCAGAACAGGAGATATTCACAATACTCATGCTTCTTCTGTTTTAAATATTTTTGTTGTTTCTCGTACAACCTGGTATGGATAAGTGTATGACATGTATACTATGTTGTTTACAGGTGTGGAATTATGTATGCAGTATATTGCACTTTGATAGAAATGAAAGGTCTTGAATATTTTTGTTAGGACTGCTATATTAAAAATAAATTTTAGCCTTAGTGTTGTGTACGTCGGTATTTCCTGGACCTCACAATTTGTACAAGCTTGAATTCTACTCCATTTGAGGGCCAGGAATAGGCTGTAAAATAGCTTTTCCTGTAAGACACTATAAAGCTGCTATCTACCAACTAATGCTCTGGCAGAAAGTATGGGTCTTCCTCCTGCCATAAATGTCTGTAATTGCATATAAAAACAGTACTACAGGCCCATCATAAAATGCCAAAACTACTCAGTTAAAATCTGCTATTTTCACAGCTTTTCACTGTTCTTAGTGAAATACTATCTGATTACCCCACTATTACAAATGCAGTAGTGGAATACTTGTTTAGCTGTTGTATTTTCACACTTGAAACACTAAATTCTGTTATCTTAAACTGCCTTTTGTACTGTACTTTTGCTTTTAAATCTACTTTTCTTTTTTCCAGTGTCTTTAAATATTTCCAAATTATGTATTGAGATTTATTTTATCCTTTTAAAATAAAATAAAACGCTATGTCACTACTTCCAATGTCATCTGTGCATTTGAGGCACCAGTTTGTAGGTTAAAGAAGAGAAGATCGACTCCGCACAATGTTTGGGAAAGGATTCTGTTCAGTGTCCTGAAACCTTCATTTGGGAAGATGCTAGGGGTACCTAGCATTGAGTTTTGCAAAGGGAGACCAAATTATTGATGGGCAGTTACCATGAACTGGTTGGAATGATATGTCTGGATGTAGAGGCTGCTAGAGACCAGCAGTTTGAGTGCAACAAGGAGAAATGGTTCTTTTCTCTTATGGTGGAGACTTGACAGCAGAGTAGCAATACAACATAAATTTAATCCGTGGATACAAGGTAGACCATCCATTTACCTTATTCTTCCACGAAGATGTTAATAAAAATCATTAGATATGAAGCAAGAGTCCATAAACATAGAGGTAAGTGGCATACTTTTATTTAGGTTAAAAGGAGTATTAACCACCATAGAAACTAGTATTTGTTCATTGCCTAAGCTGAAAAATATTCTCAACAAGGAAATTTGTCACCTGTTACAGTTTATACAAGATAGAAAAGCTGGCCTTGATGGTGAGTTCCAAGCACGAGCTGCAAGTGATGGTCATCTGTACTACTGCAGGCAGAAGCATGTGACACAAGCTTAGCAAAAAGCCTCCAGTTACGCTCTTGAACCATGTTGCTGTGAACCTTCTATCAGATGAACCTTCTATTGGACTTCCCTGGCTCTTCTAGAGGTGAGCAGTGACATTTCTTTCTCAGTGGTGGTCTGTTTTCTGGGCATTGCAAGGTAGGCATGAGGGAGCAAGGAAAATGCTGGTGTGAGGGGAGTAAGTTTCTATGTTATTTTGGCTGTTGGTGCATTGAAGCCTTGATGAATGTTGAAAGCAGAAATACAAGAGCAATCATTCTACTTAAATTTTTATACTTAAAACTAGAAAGTGATTGTGCTCTTTCTTCTGCATAGATCACGCAGGGCCTTTAGGATTTTATCTCTCTTTTCGCTGAAGTGGAAATCCAAATACAGCTCCAGGGTTTGAAAAGATTCAGACAGAAATGTCACTGAAGGGTAAGAGCTGTCTGTCCTACAGGTTGGAACTTTCTTGTATTTAGTTGAGCCCTTTGGAAGAAGCCAGACCGGTGGCATTCAAATAGCTCCTGGTAGATACAGATGCAGTTCTTTCTCTTAAAAATAACTCAGATGACAAAGCATTAAGTTCATGTAAAATACAAATGGAATTACTAATAACATTCATCATAAACCAATCTAAGCATCAAAACAGTTAAATTAAGGGAAGAGAGTACAATTCATCGTTTGCTGCTGCTTTAGATTAATTAAGCTTCGTCAGAATCAGCTATTTAAATATATGGTGTTCAGTTACCAGTGTTTGATGGTCGCGGATGTAGATCTTCAGCTGTTCAAATATTTTTTTTTAAATAACAGAGATACAAATGTAGGCTTAACACCCCTCATCTATATTTGCAAATAGTGCCTTAGCTAAAAATCCCATCTTTGCATCCAGCCTGATTTTAATGCTGAACTGCAGAGTTTGTGCTGAGATGTGAGGACGAGGTTTGTTCAGGGCTCCTGCAGCCAAGGGCGAGCCCATTTTATGGCATCCCTCAAGGACTGCATCAAGCACACAGTAACACTGCTAGGGCAAATCTGAGAGCTTTGAGATTTGCCTTTGGAGGTTTCAGGTCTCTCTTGATTGAGAGGATGGTCTAATTTTATAAGAAGGCTTTTTCTGTGGTTCACAATTTCGTAATGTTTACTAATAAGAAATTCTACAAATGGAAAACGCTTTGCTCTGGGCAATGAATCTTTTTTAACTGAGGAAACTTCATTTTCACTAGCTTTTATAACTCCTAATTGACATTATTAAAACCTAACCTAAAATGAAACATAGTGATTTGCAGTGAGATTGCCTGAAAATTTGGCTTCTAAACACATGCTGTTCTCTTCCCCCTTTTTAATTGCTTCATTTCCTTGTGGGGTGTACAGGAAACTATCTGACACAGTTCCATAGGTATTGTCCTATTGTATCTGATCTATAGCAAAACCAGAGGTGGATGCACTTGATTTTGTCCTGGTGGTGCTTTTAATGGAAGGTCGGGAGGCTGGCTTGGCACATAGACACTGAACACTATTCTCTTTGGCAGAGAGCTTTCGTACTGCAGGCAGGCAAGTTTCCTTTTCCCACCTCTAATGCTTGATAGCAGAAGCATGTGTGAGGAAGGATGGGTTCAAACTGTTTCTTGGGAGACAGTGAATATTTTGATAACACCTAAATGCCTTGAATGAATTGGAGCATTATTAGTAAGTATAATTCAGTTAAAGAATTTATTTCCTCTTGGTTTCCTAGAACAGGTAACTGGAATATCTTTATAAATGTTAACAGTTGTCCCATAAGTCCCATAATAAATGGTGTTGCATTGACTAAAAAAAACCCAAACAGAAGATGGTCTATAACATTTTCAAGTTCTTGTCTGCCTATTCAGTCTGCTGAGTTGATGCATCTTGTGCAGACATAGCCAAAGTGTACAGGTCCATGCACAGCCAGGCCACCTCATCTAGTTCGTTGAGCATCAGGGCTGGGTCACAGCTGGCAGAGCCTTATGCAGAGGACACTGTCAGAACAAAAAGCAGACCAAGTACACCTGAACTTTGGCTAACTGATGGGTTCAGTCATGCCATGCTAGCACTTCCTATTTACCATGATTTTCCCTGTGTAATCAGTACAACTTTATGCAATCAGTGAAGCTGTCTCTAATTTTGATTGATTGGATATTTTGTTGTTGTGGTAGCAAGTTCATTCTTTCTCTTTTCTTTTTCCTGGGTGAGCTGGTATAAAGACCACTTATATTCCTCAGTCTTCAATCCTACTTATTAAGTAGAGCAGATAAGAGCTGCCTGTTACCTTTGGTAATTCCTGAGGGCATGCCTACATAACAAGCAGGAGAGAACATTTTGTGTTTGTTATGAAGCAGAAGAGTGAAGATGTGTTAGAGCTTTAAAAATCTGTGTTAAATATGTTGAAGGTTGTAAGGTTACCAGCTTGTTAATGGTGGGGAAGAGAACGTGTGCTCAGGCTGACCTAATGCTGCCAGGCAAATCTAATTCCTAGTGCCTTGTTACTCCTGGCACACTTTAATAAGCAAATAGCAGCTAAATAATGTACTAACAGTCAGGACAATTACACAATTCATAGTAACAAAATGAGCCAGGTGCTCCCCTGTCCTTTTGGGATCAGATTGGTTGTTAAAACAGTGCAAATGGAAAGGCCAGAGATGATGTTCTGTAAGAAAAACAACGAGGTTTGCTCTATGTTGAAAAAATCTTCTGGATTTGCAAACCAGCACAATAAATGGTCTAGCTGGCAGGTATCCTTGGATTTTTTTAATTTCTGAAGCTCTACAGAAAGACTTGCCTACTTGTGCAGGTGGATGACTTTGCAGTTTGAGATGCGCTGCTGAAAAGAATGGAGTTGTACAAACAGCCAACAGTGCTGAAGTTAGCACAGCTATTTTGAACAACAGAAGAGCTTGGCTCTGATAACTTGCTTCCTCTTTTTTTCTTTTTCTTTCTGTTTTTTGGTCTCTAATAATTCTGTTTCCTGGAATGTACTCGGAAGCATCACCATAAGACATGGCTTTGTCAAACTGAGAATCAGTGTCCACCTTGATCTTTGAATATGGCTTCAATCTGATCATTGAATGGATTCTCCTTTCCAAGCACTTGAGGCCATTCGTGTAGTGCCTTCTGCCAGGTAACACTTGTTCCCAGGGCTGCAGCAATCTGCAAACATCACAAATAGTACTGTCAATTTCTAGTGTCTCTACAACCAGCTCTTAGCAGTCCCCACCAGAAAGAAGACTCCTCTCTATATTCACATAGAATCATTAAAATTGGAAAAGACCATCTAGTCCAAAAGTCAACCCAACCCCAGTAGGTTCATGAATGGTGCCACTACCACCTCCCTGGCAGCCTGTTCTAACGCATTACCAGTCTTTCTGTCAAAAAATATTTCCTAATACCCCAACTGAACCTCCCCTGGCATAACTTGAGGCCTTTTCCTCTCATCCTGGCACTGTTACCTGGGGGAAGAGGCTGACCCCTGCTTTGCAACCATCTTGTTTCAGCAATAAAGCAATTAGCAATGAAGTCTCCCCTGAGCCGCCTCTTCTCCAGACTAAACACGATGGACTGTAACCTCAAAGAGAAGTTCAATCCAGCTGGTTCCACAGTGAAAATAAAATAAAGATTACGTATCTGTACCTCCCTGACCACTGTGAGAACTAGATTTATCAACACATGCTCCTTTCCACTAAAGTGAAAATAAAGATATGACCTCCGAAAGTTTCTATAAGATGTAAATTACTATATTAAATCTTTTTTAGGATGCAATTTGCAAGCATGAAGTTCCACCTTCTAATAAAAATGTGTTGTCTTTTGTCTTTGCAAATTCTTTTGTCAGTTACAGGAAAATAGATAATAAGGTCTCCAATGGTTTCCTGACACCTATGATGTCTGGCCAACAGACTTCTATTCAAAAGCCATAGGATCTGACTCCTAACAATTATGAAAGTTTATCAAAAGCACTGCTTGGATATAACACATAAATCTCTTGCCAGTCCAAAGGAATTCAAGCTCTCGAGTTTCTCTGATACTTCTAATAACTATTCACTCTGATATCCTATAAGGAAACCCTAGGTGCTGGGAGAAAGAGGTCTAATTATGTCCAGGTTCAAAACCAACCGCCTCTGATTCTCTGAGTTCACAGAGCCTTTTCCCAGGAGAGCTGCTGGAAGTGGTAAAATAGCTCTTCTCCTCGCTGCCAGAATTGCTCTGCCTTTCATGGAGTGTTTGCCCTAGAAGTTATTCACTAGAGAGAAATTGTTTCTACTGTATTGCTAGGGTGAAAAACAT